AGTGAATTGAAGGAGGAACCTGGCTGTGAGCAGCTAAACTTACTCAACTTTATGTTCTCTTTGAATTAAAAATCCTCAAACATGTCTTTTAAGTTTAATAACTTTCCTAGTTTTAGACTGATGAAAAAAGGTGGGGGTGGTTTGCTTTTTACCAAACCACATCAACCAAGCGTTTCCCACAATGACTCTGTCACTGAGAACAGGCTCGGAGGACGTCCCCCTCACGACTCCAGGCAGCCTCTCCTAAACAAAAGAAGGAGTCTGGATCGCCCCCTTCGTCCTGAGATAAGAGTTATTACAAATCAGATTCAGAGCGGGAGGAAAAAGCATCAGATGAAAACGACAGCAGAGAGTGGGGGGGGGCGTGTGAGCACAGGACTCACACACAGTGCCCAGTTAGCAGACAGAGATGGCAGAGGTTTCCAGTGGAGCCAGACGTCCCTGTCTGTCACCGTGGGTTCGGGCCCTGTCTGCCCATCCCTGGATGACAAAGGGGGACGGCAAACACACACCCAAGTCGGGGCCTCAGAGATGACACATCTCTCACCACCGGCCACTCCAGCCGGGCCTGGAGCAGAGGGGCTGTCAGGTGCCAGAGCGGCACATTCCTCAACCACAGCTTGTACCGGGGGACAGTCACCCTGCCACCTCCCCCTGCAAGGAAACCAGATTCCAACCCTGGAGTCTTGGATGCACGTGGAAGCCAAGACTTACAGAGGCGCCTGCTCTTCTAAGTCGCTTCAATCCGTAAGCAGGCACTTAGCAAGCACCTACTGTATGCCCGACGTCTGACATCACAAGCCCAGGGACCAACGCAGAGATGTCCCTGGAGCTGCAGAGCTCACCCAGGCCGCAGTGGCGGCAGACACGCTCTGAGCCTGCCTTGCTCCCAAGGGGCAGCAAAGCAGAGGTGGCCCTGCCCGCCGCGACGGAGCACCGCCAAGCCCTGAGGGCCCAGAAGGCGTCCACAGGCACAAAAAGGCTCCGCACGTCACCCCCCTCAAGACCCTGGGCTTCCAAGGCACCCCAAGTCCCTCAGCGCCCCAGGGGAGACAGCATGGCCTGATCCACGGCCCCAACGGGGAGGTGCTGCTGTGGCCGACAAGCCGAGCTTCCCCAACTGTGTCCTGGCCACTAGGTGCAATCAGTGGTCCCCAGTCGAGGGTGACTTTCCCCCCAGGGACACTTGGCAATGTCCGGGGACGTTTTGGTTGCCACAGCTGGTGGGGATGCTCCAGGCATCTAACACGTGGAGGCCTGGGTGCTGCCAAACATCCTCCGACGCACAGGCGGCCCCCACAGCAAACGACTGCGGGCCCAAAACGTGAGTGGGGCTGAGGTTGAAAAACCCAGTCCAAACACGCTCTTCCGTTCTGGGAACACAAATAAACCCTCCTCTCGCCCTTCCCTAGCCGCTGACGAAAACCACATGGCTTGGCCGCCCCCCTCCCCAAAGGGAGCCCGAGTGATCACTTCCTTATCTCGGGGAGAGGCCCGGGGGCCCCTCCACGTGGCACGTCCTCCGGGCCAGCCTGGTGGGAAACTGCAGTGGGAGCCGCACCCACACGGCCGCCCCTCCCGGAGCTGACACACGATGTTTGGATACTGGAAATGAGGGGGAAGCTGGCAGCTGTGAAAAGGCAACATTTATGGAAAACAAAGCCCCGGAGAGCCAGGTGCCTCACTGGGGCGCCTAACCAGGCCCACACGGTGGAGGCGCCCCGGGGGCTCTTATTGCAGGCCTCGGGGAAGCAGGGCTGTCACCCCCACTCTCACACCTGATGCTGGGGGGTCCCAGTCAACGTGCAGGAGAAAGGCCTGCAGGTGCCCCCCCGCCCCACACACCTGCTCCCCAACGCTCCTCGGCTCCACAGCCACCAAGGCGTGCACTGTGGGCTTTGGCTAAAGACCTCCTCTCAAACCAGTATGACCAGTGAGCCCCAACTCGCAACCAGGGCAAGTCTTTTGTGGGACTCTTGTGGGACTTGTGGGAACAATCACTAAAGAACGAAAATTACTGTGACGGCATTCAGTAACCTGGACCTGAGCCCGGGGAAGGCCAGCAGTTATTCATACACGCACATGCCTGTGCACGCACACGCACACACGTGTGCACGCACACAGGGGGTCCCTCCCCTTTTCCACCACTTCTTCCAGATGAGGTCGACTACTGGCTCAATGGGGAGGAGGGACCACCTTACCTGTCCTTTGGGGAAGGAAGGAGGGGAACGAGGTGCCCGGAGCACCGCTCAGCAGTGGCACCCACCACCCCACCGAAACACCCCCCCTCTCGGCATTGGTCCCAGCACAGCAAATGCCACCGCCAGCCTCACAGCGACATGCAGGCCAGCGAAGGCGCCCGCTCTCTCAGCACAGGCCGGCACTGCGGGGCCATCAGCCTCCTGGGGGCTCAGCAGGGACAGGCCACGTGGGAGGTCAGCAGCCCCCTCCCTGGGGCACGTAAGGCAGGGGATGCAGCCACAGGCGTGAGGACCTTGGGGGGAAGCCTCCCCTGGCAGGACCGGCAGATGAGCTTGCAATTCTTTCTTATTATCAAACTTAACGGTCACCAACCTGCGACACCAAACACCCCCTAGGCGCCTCGCCCGCCTCCACATCACGGCGACTTTGGGTCTCTCTGTTGTGCCCACCGTTGGGGAGGATGGCAGGGGGACACTGGGCCACTTTAGCTGCCACCCAGCAGCTCTCAGGAAGCGGGATGGGACACGACTCAGCTCCCTGGGGCTCCGTCCTTCCAGGATGCTGGCAGAAGCCAGGAGTGTGCTACAGCCACGGCGCACGGCCGCCTGCAGAGGCCCCGAGGCCACACCAGGCTCTGCACAGAGGAGCAGCTCAGGGCGCGTGTGCCCGCGTGTGAGCATGTCAGCTTTGTGTCCATATATCCATGTGTCATCAGAATAACCAAACGAGGACGCTAACTCGAAGGTGTGGACTCCATCCGGGTCAAGTGTGGCACAGGCCCTGAGCCTGGGCCACCGTGGAGCTCAGACAACCCGCGGCCCCCGAGGGCCTCTCCGAGCCCGCTCCACTGTCACTGGCGAGGGGACGGCACGGCCCACACCCGAGTGGAAGGCCAGGGAGGCGTAGGCCTGCTCGGGGCAGGTAACACAACCCGCTGCAGCCGGAGAAGTGTGTCAGCGAGCCGGGCCGGCTCAATAGGCTCTTTGTGTGGGAGGCCTGCAAAGCCACCACCGGCTCAACGGGCTGTGGCACTGGCCTTCTCTTGCCTCGAATGATGTAAAAGGGAAGGTCTCAAAGGGGTTGGTGACCGTAAGCCAAAGCCCGGCCTCCTGCGATGGTCCCCATGGCCCCCCCCAGCAATCACCCCGTGACACAGAGCAGGCGCTCCGAGGCCCCCAGGCGCCCGGGGTACAGGGACTTTCAGGACGGGCAGGGCTGGCCTGGCCCATGGCTCTTTGCACCCCACTCAGCAGAGCACACACAGGGCAGACAACGACACTGGCCACTCCACCCACACCACTGCGGCCCCTTCCAGAAGGAGGAGGGGACCGGCCAGAGTCCCCTGGAGTATGACAAGGCAGAGTCAGGACAAAAAGCCAACCACCTGAACCGGAGCCTCAGGAGTGGGGCCTCGTCTGCAGAGACTTCATCAGACGTCAGCCCAACAGTGGCTGGCTTTTTATTACCCCGCGTGCCAGGCACTGTGGACAACGTCAGTGATAGAAGACCCTCCGTGGCGGAGGACCCCCAGCCGTCCTCAGCACCCCACGGCCCACAGCACACAGAGCAAAGTGCTTCCCCTGGGCAGGACAGACATTGTCATCATAACACACTACTATGATTTCCCGTGGCAGCGCTAAGAACTTTCCGCACGTCACTGGGAGAGTCACGCTCCCATCCTCCAGATCAAGAAACTGAGGCCGAAAGAGGTAAAGCAATTTGCCTAAGGGAACAGAGGGCCACTGCTGCCCAGTGCCAGCCGTGGCACCCAGAGCTGCGCAGGCCAGGCCCAAGGGACCCCACCCCACGGGAGTCCACCGCCATGCACACCCCTTGTCTTCACATACTGATGGTGCAAGGCAGGCTTCTCAATGGCAGCAGAACTGGAGAAAATGAGAGTGCGCCACACCTCAGGGATGCACACAAAATGTCGGCGAGGGCTCCAGGCCCCTTGCAACCTACGAATCAAGTGACAAGTCTCCTGAGGCCATTAAATGTCTTTCCGCTCTGGGCCACAGAAGACCAGTCCACTTACTTGTGTGAAGCCACCGTTTTCTATGGGAAGCTAGGAAACAGTCAAAGATGATCTGAGATACATTTAAGAGTCTTTTGGCATTAAAAAAATTATCGCTTGTGGCGCTTACCTATTAAGACAAACAAATGCTTCCCACCAATTGAATAACAGCCCTGCACAAAGCAGTGGCCCACAGGCCACAGAAGGCTCCCTCCCGCCCTCGGGCAGGGACTTAGAGCCGCCCGTGGCTCCTGGCACGCCTCAGAGGGACAATAACCAACCATTCCTAGGCTGGGCCTCCCTCCACACGGCCTCCAACTGCCCTGGCACCCACGACCCCACGCACAGCGAATGCCCCCGTCCCCTCTGGAGGCCCGGCTTCCAGCACGTTTTCATCTGATCGCTCAGGGACTCGGGCACTGCAGGATGCTCTGTGACGCGTCTGCCACCTGCACTGGACAAGGTGCTCCCTGCAGCTAATGACAGGCTTGCCAGACAGCTGGGGAGGGGTCTCTAAACAAAAGGAGGCACCCGCCCTACAACGCGGCAGGAGCCCAGCAGGAGCCACTGAAGAACAGCAGCGGGCGGGCGTCCCACCGCGTGGACAGTGCCGTCTCCAGGACAGGTGCGGTGAGCGCCGGGAATGGTGGGGGAAGTCCTCAGACGCCGGGACAGAGGCCCTGACTCTCCTCCTCCCCACGGTTTCCCCCGATCAGGCCCCTGCACCTCTGCCTGTCCATCTCCCTGACCAGCCCCCAGCTTTTCCTGAATCTTCCCCCGTCACCTGCTGTCATAGTGTCCACATCCTTGGCCGCCAGCTCCTCCACGTCTGACCTCTTTCTCAGCTCGAACCTCCGGGACAGGCCTTCTCGGGGTTTCCATAATTCCTGGATCAAGAGGGGCTTCTCGTTGTCCCCAAACACCCGAAGGCATTCGGCCTGCCACTGCTGCCCGGAGGCGCCGGCCTGGCCCACCACGTCACACAGCACGTACTGGCTGGCGCACTCGGGGCTCAAGGCATAGCGCTCCAAGGCCTCTTTGACCAGCTCCCGGGCACTGGACGTGCCGGTGGCCAGGACGCTCTTGTAGTGGGTGCCTGTGCAGACGCTGTCCCCGAACACCTTCAGGACGCCGGGGGCCGAGAGCTGGGTGGACAGCTCCGCGGGGTCGTCGCTGGCCCCCAGGCTGGAGAGGGCGGCGTCCAGGTCACGGTCCTTGTAGCTCAGCGTCCGGGACAGCATGCTGGACAGCAGCTGACTCTGACGCTTCAGCTTGCTCTTGGTGGGTGGAGACATGATGAAGTGGGTCCCATAAAACATGGTGGGTCAGTCTTCGTGGATGAGGACCGAGGGCTCCAGCCAGCGGCGGGGAAGAGGCCGGGTCCTGGGAGAGGAACGGAAGCTGGGTTAGCGCTGACCGTCAGGAGCAGCAAGAGCAAAGGAGGCTCAGGGGAATTCTAACAGACCCAGGGGCCATCCAGGGCCCAACAGAACCAGCAGACACGCCACCCTCGGCCAAGTCCCAACAGAGCCCCCAAGTGAGGCTATGGCTGAGCTGGCAGGGGCCACAGGGGACAAAGCAGGTGTGAACGGGCTGAAATGCCCTTCGAGGAAAGCCATTATTAGGAGGCGTGATGAGGTCACCAACAGGTAAGACGTGCTCTGCTGTAGGGTGGCGGCCTGTAAGGTGCTGGCACCATGCACACCACACGCAGGCAGCCAGGGAACCGTGACGGACAGCGTGGGTGCGAGTTGTCCTCGCAGAGCAGACCTTGAGCAGGGCTGGCCCGGTCACATGGGACACAACCCAACAACGTGGCAGCCACAGAAAAGTTACACACCACGGAGCGTGTGAAATGCCTTCTCCCCTTAAACTCCCTCTCTCCTTCACCACAGCCTGTAATGTGGAAAATTCATCACAAATACAGGTGACACTAGGAAAACGGGCAGGGTGGCAGCCACATTAGCAGAGTAATAAGCGATCAGACATTCAAAACACAAACCCCCCAAAAGGCGGCTTCTCGAGGCCCGGCCCTGGCTTGGAGGAGCCACTTGCCGGGAGTGGCGGCGCTAGAATGTCCGAGGGACCACAGTGGACACAGAAGGGCTCCTCCAGAACCGTGGAGGCATGACTGGAATGTATGCATTCCACCCACCGCATCCAGCCTGGTACGCCAGCCCTGGCCAGGCCGGAGATGCAGAGAGCTGGGGAAATGAGAAAACAGCTCGGGGACCCTTTGGTGTGTCAGAAAACCATAATTCTGGTGCACTTAGTGTTCCCAGGGCCTAGAGCGCTAAAGAGAGCGTTTGTCAGGTTCCCTCAAAGTTCTGGGGGAGCAGGAGGCTGAGGAAAAGGAAGATGTCTCTGCTTCATAAAAGCGAAGGCTTTACAAGTCCGTGGAGACTGGAAAACCGCACACGTCTCCTGACTAACGCACCCCACTGCTAAGCTCGTGTCCTCACCAGTGACAAAAGCAGACAGACCAGAGAAGAAAACTCCACTTTCTAGAAGGTTCTGGAAACAGCGGCCCAGGTCCCAGTGAGGGCAGCACCGGCCACCTCACAGGGCCATGAACATCAGCAGTAGACTTGCCTGAAGTCAGAACCCTCGTCCCGACTCACTCGTGGCTCCCGGGGCGCTGGAAAGGGCTTTTGGAAGTGAAAGTGGCTGCTAGAGCAGGTGACAGTGACGGGGGAGCCGCCCAAAGAAAAGGACTCACACTGACCCCAAACCGCCCAGGCCGCCAACACCGACATGGTGAACGGGGTATCCTCCTCGCTGTCCACCCAGGCTTCCGTCACGTCCTCTCAGGTCTCCCACCCACCCCTCCACCCCCCTCCGAGGGCTGTCGGGAATTCAGGCGGAAAAGCAGGCCTGCCAGCAACGCAGCCAGAACCAGCCCCCGGACATCCTTGAGGACCCCGAACTCTTCAAAATGCTTTGTGCACCAAAGACTGGGTTCCAAACCCAAACTCAAACGTCTGCCCTCTGGGGTGGGCCGGGGGCGCTCCTCCCGCCCTGCAGCCTGTTGCTTACGCTTTACCCCTGCAAAGCCTGTCACTGTGTCAGGGCTTTCTGAAGACTTGAACTCGCTCAAAGCAGTCAAGTGCCCTAAGCAGAAGGAGCACATGAGGCTCTCTGGCCTCAGCGAGTCACGCTGTCAAGGAGGAAACATGTCAACCGCTTCGTTCTTCCTCCGGAGGAATGTGCGACAAGTTTCCTGGTCAGATGGGAAGGAGCCTGGAGCTGGCTAGGGCCCCCCTCGTGGACCTGTCGGAGGCCTCGAGTGAAGTGACCGCAGGAGCCGTTCAGAGAGTGCTCGCCTGACAAGCACATGGCTGTGCGTTTGCACACCATGCACGCCAGCAGCTTCGCACGGCTGCCAACTCCACCCTGAGCCTTCTGAAGGTCACACAGCCCTGCCTCCGAAACGTCCAACCCGGGCCTCTCCGACCCCACTCTCCGCTTCCCTGGCCTCCTTCAAGCATAGCCCCCCGGGTCCCCACCCAAACCGAGAGTGGCCCACAGTGTGGCCTCTGCCACTAGGCAGAAGCCTCTGCCTTTCGAGATGATGTCTGAGTGTAAATTTAAATATGATGCTGAAAACTGCGAGACCGGGTCTGGGCAGAAAAGTCAGGGCGCAAACGTAGGAGTTTGAAAGACCCCCAGATACAACGGAGAAGGGAATTGCTGTTATGCACCCGGGGGCCGATCCAGGTTCTGTAAGGTCTGAAGCTTACATAGTTCTGCTCATACAGGAAAGAAACAGAAAACTACAAATGCACGGCTGCCAGGTCCCCTCCCGGGGCCTTGGAAGTGAGGGGCCCTCCCTCCCCTCCGGCAATCTCTCGTGCTGGGCTAGAAGGCAAAGTTAGCGGTGTCAATGAAGCGAGCAGAGGGCACAGAGGAGAGAATCTGATGCCTTCCTTTCCAGACCCTGCTTCCTAAGCCCCAGGAAGTCCCAGTAAACACAGCCCCTGATCTCTCTGATCCAGCTGATCAGGAAGCTTTTATCTTCTCAGGGTCACTCTCTCTGTGGCCATTTTCAGAGAGTAACCAGGGAGGGAGCCACTTGTTTACGTCACCTTCCGCCTATCCACAAGTACTGCCTGTTTGAGAAAAAGTGACGGATCCTTTTTTGGAAAGGGCAAGAGGGCAGGAATATCCTACAGAGCCGTGCGCACCCTGGGTAACCAGATCTGTTCTTTGGGGGAGCCTGACCTGCCTTTTCTTTTTCTGCTTTCTTCTCTCCTCTTTCACACAAATAGTTGGGGGAACACGGGCCCACACGAGGGTGTGGGACGTTTGCTGCTGCTTCTCTTGGAGAATGTTTTTCTCTTGTTCTCAAGGAAGAATCCAGTTTCTGAGGAAAACAAGCTCAAGTCACACCAGTGAGGGCAGGCAGAGAGCGAGGTCAGCGCAGGGCTGACAAAATGGGTGGAGGGACGTGGCTGTTCCAACATGGGAATATGGAATCCATTAGAATTTCCACCCGGACAGGAAAGGAAGAGCATAGATCTGCAGGCCCTGCTTTAGCCCCCACGGTCCATAAATCCTATCTCGACAGCTCCAGCCAGAGAGATGCTTTTAAATACAAAAATAATTGAATCAGATTTAATTCTGACATGCTAGCCTCTTGAGACGGGACTGACTTTTTCCGCCCATGGGATTAAGGACCGGCTCCCCGCTGGAATGCACGAGAGGTGGCCCGAGCTGACTGAAGACACCTGTAATCGCCGGTGACTTGGAAAATTCTTTTTGGCAATTCAGATTAACCAAACACTTGACACGGCGCTGGGGGCTGAGCGGGCGGGGCTGCGGCTCCACCCAGGGGCCCCAACCAACCCGCTCCCTGGTGGGAAAAAGCCAGTTTCTTCCACGGGGGCCACCCCAGGAGCTCCAGCTCAGCGTATGTTTTCTTAGATGCAGTATTCGCAGAGGGGCTGGAAGTGGGACAGAAATAGCTGGGAGACAATGCTTTCAGCTGGCACACGAGTGGGGAAGGCGCTGCTGTGTGCACAGGAGAATCAAGACGGGCTGTGGGCGGGGGGATGTCACACCGACCCTGGAGGAGGGTGCGGACCCTGCGCCCCGCTCCCCCGCGGCTCCTGTGCTGCCAGACCCCGCCCCCCCCCGCAAGGGGACCACCCGGGAGACTGAGGCCCGCGGGACCCTGCAGGTCGGGGCCAGGCTCTGGGAGCCGCAGGGGGCGCTGGCCGCACCCCACGCCCCCGAAAACCGCAGGCTGGGCCGCCCTCGCCCGCACTCGCCGGCCTTCGGGTCCCGCCCCCCTGGGGCCGCGCCCGGGCCCCGAGAGCCGCCGGTTTCCATGGCAACCGGACAAGCCTGGCCTGGGCGGCCAAGGAGATGCCCCGTGCGGACCCCGTTGCCCCAGCGCGCGCCCCGCGGCCTCGGCGCCCCGGAGCCCCGGCCGCCGCCGGGAGGCGCCCCCCTCCGCCGCCACTCCTCGCGCAGCCCGCACTCACCTCCAGCACAGCCCGCCGCCGCCGCCGCCGCCGCGTTCCCGCGCGGCTCCCACACCCGCCGTTGGCCCGGGCCCGTGCCCGGGACCCGCGCGTGGCGCGGCGCCTCCTGCCGGCCGCAACGGACGGGGCGGGGCCTGGGGGCGGGGCTTCAGGGGCGGGGCTAGCTACAAGAAGAGGCGGGCCGTGCGCGGTCTCCCCCTGTGCCCACCAATGGACGGGGAGGAGGCCTCGAGGGGCGGGGCCTCGGGGGCGGGGCCGGCTACGAGAAGAGGCGGGCCGTGTGCGAGCTCTCCTGTACCCACCAATGGAGAGAGAGGAGGCCTCGAGGGGCGGGGCCTCGGGGGCGGGGCCGGCTACAAGAAGAGGCGGGCCGTGTGCGGGCTCCTCCTGTTCCCACCAATGGACGGGGAGGAGGCCTCGAGGGGCGGGGCCTGGGGGGGAGTGCAGAGCCGGTGAGGGATTGGGCGGAGCGCCGGCGCCACCTGCAGGCCAATTAACGGGTGTGGGCGTGGCCTCGGAGGCAGAGGTGGAGTCTCTGGGAGAGGGCGGGGCTGCGCAGCCAAGGGGCGGGGCCTCTGCAGGAGGGGCGGGGCCAGGGTAAACTGGGTGCCACGTGCTGGCCTCACGCTCTGGGGCACCGGCGAGCAGTGTTTTGTCCCCACTTTTTAATGCCACGGAGCCGAGGAAAGGCAAACACTTAACTGAAATGGGGCAGCCCAATATATGAACATCTAAGACGCTGAAAAAGGAAAAGGGTGGCTGGTTCCATCTCCCCTACAGTCTGTGCCCCACTGGGCAGCCAGAGTTGCAAATGACAAATCAGATGACAGCACTCTTCTGCTTAAAACAGAGCCGGGTCAGCTCTGGGGCTCTGGCCCAACAGCCCTCCTTAGGTCACTTGTTTTAAAAGTAGCTCGTGTCCTTAGAGCTCACTTTGGCACCAGCCCTCCCGCTGGGTCCACTTTGGAGAAAGGCTTCTCACAGACAGGGCTGTGAGACTGACGGCACGTTGGACACGGAGATGCAGAATTCTGACCCTGGGCGTGGACCTCTTTGTTGACAGCTATAGGGCTATAAAGTTTTACAGTAGTGACCCCAGATTTGTGCAGGGGAAAATGGGAAGGAGGGAACAGACATTTATGAACTACCTACTGTATATGTCAGACCCTACACTAGGGGCTTCACCTCGGTCATCTCATTTAAAGCTTGCGTCAGTTCTGGTGAGGGAGATGTTGTTACGAAATCTGGACCAAGTCTGGGCTGCTGTCTGTTTTTGTAAATAAAGTTTTATTGGAACCCAGCAATACCTATTTGTTTACTATTGTCTATAATCGCTTTCATGCAACAAAGACTTTACCGCCCAAAAGCCTAGAATAATTCCTATCTGGCCCTTGACAGAGACAGTTTGCTGACCCCGCTCTTCGGGATCTAGTAATGCCAACTATTTGGTATTACTACACCGTTTCACACCTCTGTATCTTTGCTCAGGCCATCCGCTCGGCCTTGAAATACCTTTCCCAACTGTGCTAGGCTGCTCAGGGGCCAGAGCAGATGCCACACACTGGGGGCTTAAACAGCGGAAATTTATTGTCTCACACTTCTGGAGGCTGGAAGTCAGACATCAAGGTGCCAGCAGGATTAGTTCCTTCTGAGGCTCCTCCCCTTGGCTTGTAAATGGCCATCTTCTCCCTGTGTCCTCACGTGGTCGTCCCTCCGTGCGTGTCTATGTCCTAATCTCCTCTTCTTATAAGGACACAGTTCTATTGGATTAGGGCCCACCCTAATGACCCATTTTAACTTAATCACCTCTTTAAAGGCCCTATCTCCAAACACAGTCACATCCTGAGGTATTGGGGGTTAGGGCTTCAACACATACATTTTAGGGGAACACAGTTCAGCTCATCACTCCAATCTTCCTGACCTGGCCAATTTCTACCCATCCTTGAAGACTCAGAGTAGGTGTTATGTGGGAGCCAGCCCCCAAGGTGGTCCCCAGTGATTCACGCCTTCTGGTTTTCAGGCCCCCGTGTAGTCCCGTCCCATGTTGACTAGGGCTGACCTGTGTAACCAATAAGATGCTGCCAAAATGACAGTATGACTTCTGGAGCTAAATCATAAAAGATATGACTTCCACCCTCACTCTCTCTTGGATCCCTCGCTCTGGGAGAAGCCGGCTGCCATGCTGGGAGGACACTCAAACAGCCCCAGAGAGGTCCACATGGTGAGAAACCAGCACCTCTTGCCAACAGCTGGCACCAACTCGCCATCCATGTGAGTGAGCCGTGCTGGATGCAGGACCCAGGAGCCTTCAGATGAATGCAGCCCTGAGCGACATCTTGACTGTATCTGATGAGGAGCCCTGAGCCAGAAGCACCCAGCAAAGCTGCTCTCAAATTCCCAACCCTCGGAAACTGTGTGAGATGACAGATGTTTATTATGGATTTAAGTCACTAAACGTGGGAGTGGCTTGTTAGGCAGCAATGGATAATAAATACACCTTATCCAGGAAGGCCTCTCTGACCCCTAGACTTGGCCACATGCCCCTCCTTTGTGCTCTCACAGACTTTTTTTTTTTTTGCAGGGGAGGATTTGCTCTGAGCTAACATCTGCTGCCAATCTTCCTCTTTTTTTTTTTTCTCCCCAAAGCCCCAGTGCATGGTTGTGTTCCTAGTTGTAAGTCCTTCTAGTTCTTCAACATGAGCCACCACCACAGCATGGCTACTGACAGACAGGTGGGGTGGTTCTGTGACCGGGAAATGAACCGAGGCTGCTGAGGCAGTGAGAGCACCAAACTTCGACCACTAGGCCATCAGGGCTGGCTCCAGACTTTTATTTCTTATTTTTTTATTGACCAAGTCCACATTATACCCAACTATGCTCCTTCAATGCAAACCAGACGTTGTTACTTCTCAGCCTGTAATCCTCTAATAACTCCCTTTTGCACTTAGAATAAAGTGGGGCTTCCAGAACCCTCCCCCACGGGCTCCTGTTGACCCCCCCCCCAGATGCTCTCTCCCTCTGCCACGGAGCTCCAGCCCCACCTAACTCCTGTTTCAAACACACTAAGCTCACACTCTCCTCAGAAGCCTCTCCCCTTGATGCCCTTCTTCCTAAAATGCTCCTCCCACTGTGTTTGCGTGCTGGCACCTTCCTCTCATGAAAACCCGGCTCAACTACTGGGTCCTGACCACTGAGCCACCCTGCACTCACTCTCTATCTATCTCACCCCCCGTTTTGTTTAATCCATAGGCCTTTATCACTATTTATTTGTTGTGTATTTAACACGCACTAGGATTTGTGTTCCGTGAAGGCAGGCGCCTCATCTGTCCTGTCTACCTCCATCCTTGGCTCCAAGTAGGTGCGCAATAAATATTCCTTAAAGGAATAAAGGAATGAACAGATTTCGGCCCATCCCACCTCTCACCCCCTCCGTCAGCTGGAAGTTTCTCAAGGGCAAGAACTGAGTTCTGTTCATCTTTGTTTTCCAGCACCCAGCCCAGGGGCAGGTGAACCAAACAAGGTTTGGAAGCATAGGGTTGAACAGCTGGAAATTCAAGGGGCGAAAATGGAGTGTTGCGCTGCCCGCCATGGCCACCAGAGGGCGGCAGAGTCCCGAGACTTGCTCAAGGAAAGGACCAGATGAGCCCAGAGGAAAAGCATCCGGTTAAGAGCCAAGCGCCGGTTCCCAGGGGACGCCCGGTCCAGAGGCGGGGAGACTGGGCATTTGGGGACAGAAGAGAGGAAGGGCAGGTGGCGGCAGGCACAGGGACAGCGTCAGAGCCCAGCCCTTCTTTCAGAGACTAAGTCGGCATCATTAGAAGGGGCTGGCGAAACAAGTGATTTAATCCTGGGACTCCGTTCTGGATGAACTCAGCACCACGACCTATAAATGGCAGCCCTTCGGGTTTGCTCATTCCTTGTAGACTCATCAGCCTGAAACGGCAATTGTTATTTTTCGTCCCACATCGTATGCTGAGCGACTTTCAGTCAACAGTTTAGTACCTCTTGGCACTGGTAATGTAGGAGGTACCAGGACTGCAGAGTAACATATGGGGCACAAGAACAGCAGAGTAACGTATGGGGTGCTGGGACCGCAGAGTAACATATGGGGTACCAGGACGTCAGAGTAACGTACAAGGTGCCAGGACTGCAGAGTAACACATGGGGTACCAGGGTGTCAGAGTAACGTACAAGGTGCCAGGACTGCAGAGTAACACATGGGGTACCAGGGTGTCAGAGTAACGTACAAGGTGCCAGGACTGCAGAGTAACACATGGGGTACCAGGACAGCAGAGTAACGTACAAGGTGCCAGGACTGCAGAGTAACACATGGGGTACCAGGACAGCAGAGTAACATATGGGGTACCAGGACTGCAGAGTAATGTACAGGGTGCCAGGACTGCAGAGTAACATATGAGGCACCAGGACTGGAGATTAACATATGGAGTACCACGATTACAGAGTAATGTGTAGGGTACCAGGACTACAGAGTAACATATGGGGTACCAGGACAGCAGAGTAACATATGGGGTACCAGGACAGCAGAGTAACATAGGGGTACCAGGACAGTAGAGTAACATATGGGGTATCAGGAGTGCAGAGTAACATATGGAGTACCACAACTACAGAGTAATGTATGGGGTTCGAGGATTACAGAGTAATGGTATTTGATACTCTTCGTTTGAAGTTATGTGTATACTCCGATGTAGACATCCAATAGGCAATTAGCTCTAGAGACCTGAAGCTCAGGTGAGATATTTAACTGGAAGATATTGATTCAGTCATTAGCCTGTCGATGGGAAACGAAGCCGGGGTGGTGGCGTGTTCAGCTGAAACAAAGATGTCAGTACCATAACACAGATCAAGCCAAACGGTTCCTGAGTGTTTGCTCTGCTGTGAAGAAGCTTGAACCACATTTACTGAACTGCCAAAGATTCGAGGCTGGGTGGGACTTAAGAAATCATCTACCCCAGTGGTTATCAAACTCTGGAAATCCTTGTTCTCTGGGGACTGGGAACGTGTTGAAAAGCTCGTTTCAGTCCACGTAGGACAGAGGATCTGTTTCATCAGCCAACAATATGACCACGTGACATGGTCACAACATAAAAACACAAACATGGGCACATGTGGCCTCAGGAAAACACGCTGCAGAACCAAATATGCTTGGCAGGACCTGACCTTTCCATTAGCATTAATTTTTTATTTGTTTACTTGATTTGTTACTTGCAAGCGTTTGTTAGAAGGTACCATTTCGTTTATGACGTATGTACGAGAAAAATAATTGACTGAGAAAATATTATGTAGTAATTTTTTTTACTGAGAATTAACGAGGGTGATTTTTCAAATGTGGGGTGCAAGAGCGTGGGCCAGCTGAAGATCTTCCTGGTACCCGAGGAAAGAAATGTGTGAGACCCCCCGATTTAACCAGTGTCCACACTGCGGTGGACCCACCGCCAAGAGAGGCGAACGGACCTGTCCAAGATCACAAAACTTCACTAATAACATGACTTCTCCCATGTAAAATCACATTCAAAAAGACATGCAAGCAGGCTAGATACTGAATATTAACGGTAATTATTTCTGGGTGACGGGGTTTGTGGCAGATTGCAATTTCCAGAGATGGCCACATCTGTACGGATTCCGCCCTGCGTGCTCTTACAGTGTAGTGCGGACTCCCCTCCATCGGGTGCTGTAAGGAGGTCTGTGTTCTCTCCGCTGGATCTGGGGACCTTTTCAGCTGTGCGGAAGTGATGAAGCAAGACTTCCGGGGCTGGGCCAGAAAAGACGTTATGTCTCCTGCCCGGCTCTTTCCTTCTCTTGGGACCCAACCACCATGATGCAAGGAAACCCAGGCCCCCTTGTGGGTGTGTATGAGGCATGTCTTTAAGATGATGCTTTGACTTCTGGGGCCTTACTGACCTGGGAGATGGCCCCTCCCAGGGTGAGCCAATCCCTAGAGATAGTAATCGGCTCACCTGTGCAAATCAACCAATCTGGGGCCGGCCCTCCCCCCTCCTCAGCCAGCCTCGCACACTCCAGGCCCCCATTCCCCTGCCCTAATGAGCCCAGACCAGGGTACCACGCAACTAGGGGCAGCCCCTCCGTCCCAGAGCCCACTGAAATTATTGGAACCAGCCAATCCCAAGCCGGCTCCCCCCGCCTCACCCATTCCTTCCCGTGGAAACCACAATAAAGGCTCTGGCCCACTTTTCCCCTCGCTCCCTCTGCCTCCTGACCAGCCCTGGTGCTTCCCCATGCAGCCCTGCGTGGCTTGGGGTGGGGTGGGTGCCCCCTCCTCTCGGGAACTTTAAGGAACAAACTGGCTTTTCAAAGCCAGCCAGCCTCTGATCTGTGGGCCTCACCATACCTGAATAATAATAAAGCTTACATTTTAAAACAGGTGTTGGGCCAACCTCCCCAGCGAGGGCTCCAGCCGGCTGCCAGCATCAAGCACCAGACACGTGGGTGAGTGTGCCGACAGGGCATCCTCCAGGTGAGGCCCAGACTCTGGACTCCCGACTGACAGGAGCCGTGAGAGACGCTGCTGCCTGCTGTTGACTTAAGCCACTATATTTTAGGATTATTTGTTAGATGGCAATAGACAGCCAAGACAGGATTTTAAATTTACTTTCTACTTTTCCAAATAGCCCGAGTTTTCCACCACGAACCAAGATTCTTTTATAAAAAGAATGCACAAGTGTTCTTTTTAGAAAGACAACTGGGCGAGACAGAGTCATCTTGAATTTCTGTTTATTTCAGTTCCTTCTACACCGCTGGAAGCAATAACATCCACCTGCAGGATTATTCTTCTTAATACAAATGTTTATCAAACAAACACTGTGTTAATACAAAATAGCAATTTCACAAACACAGAAAGGGTCCAATGCCAGCAGGACGTTTTTTTAAAAGTCACGCCACGAATCGTGGACATGAGAGGTCTATAAAAGTGGGCACGAAAGGCGCTCAGAGCTCCCGTTTTCCCCCAAGCACGGCCTTAACGAGCAGCCGGAGCTTCTGACTGCACAGAAGCGGATGGGGTCCTGGTGATCCCTGGCAGTGTAAACAGGACCGGCGGGCGGTTCCGCCAGCAAAGTCAGAGCCTGGAATCCGGAATTGCTCGCGGAGGCAGAAGAGCGCTTCTGAAATTGGGTCCTCTTTCCTCGAATGGATTCCCTCTCTCCCTCCTGCCTCCCCACCCCTGCCTGAACTAATGCTGACGCACAGCCAGGCGCGCTGCCCGCCCGAGGTCTCTATGACCATCCGGCCCTGGGGCCCCCAGAACGCGAGGCCATCACAGGGACAATAGACTCAAGACTCTGGGCTCGTATTCCTCTCCGTGGGGTCAGGGTTCTCAGTAGCCAGATTCTCCGAGCTCCTAATCTCTTTCTCTATACCTGTCCCCATGTGGCCTTGGGGTACCCAGGCTCCCAAGGGATGGCACCATGCTGACCGCCGCCAATCAAGAGGCACTAAGCACTGAGTACCAATGCCTATGGCTTTCCAGGAGACCACCAAGCGTAGTTTCCAGAACTGAGGGCTCAGACGCACTTATGGGTCATAAGATCAATTTAGGGGGTTGCAGCCAGCAACTTGAAAAAATGACATAGGACAGGACGGACAGGGTTGGGGGACACTGGGTAAGGCAGGAAGCACCACAGGGCATCACACGTTAGATCCTGTTTCCGAGCCTGATGTGTAAACTGGAATCACAGTGTCAAGTGCATTTCTCATGATGGGTACGAATCGGAAGGGTTTGGGAAACTCTGACATCTGGGGTCAACGCAGGAGGGCAGCTGACCCAGGTCACCTGCAGCTGCTCCCACGTGCTGGAGCGGGCAGACCCCATGGCGCACAGGTCACCCTCCCCGTGGGGGCTGCCGGGGCAGCTGGGACGTGGCACCTCCCCTCCCATCACCACAACGAGGGTGCCAGTTGTTTGAAAACCCGTCACAAAGCTGTCCAAGAGGAGTGCAAAGAGAAGGCTGTCGGGACACCTGCAAGTGAGGGCGTGTGGGCAGAGCTTCCGTGTGGACAGGTGACAACCCGTCACGGCTGGGCCTGGCCTAGCAGGTCCCAAATCCTCACCCCAAAACGGCAGGTGGATACCAAAGGTCACTTCCCTATGGACAGACCCATCACCCTTATTAAGGTATTTAAATGCCCCTTTGTCCCGGGGGTGCTGGTGAGGAGAGCTGTCTGCACGGATGAGAACGCCACAGGACGCTGCCCGGTCGACCCCAACAACAAAGGGCATCCCAGAGCTCGGGGCCCCAGGGCTGCCAGGGCTGCTGGGCCTTGCAGGGAGCTTTGGGCACAAGTGTCCTTGCCCCCCGGAGAGAGCATCCAGCCCCCGCCAGCGCCCTGAGGGGCTCCAACCAAAGGCAGAAGCAAAGAACACCAGCATTTATATCCTGGACCTCTCAAGGCTCGGGCAAAACTGACTGAGTTCAGGAAGTCGGCAGCCAAGAGATGCGATCGCTAAAGTCAGGAGCCATGAGGCCCCGGAAGGAGGTTAAGGAGATGCCGTCACCCAAGGCCCCAGAGCTCAGCTCTCGGGGCAGAGACGACAGCTGGTGCCGTGGAAGGAGGAAGGATGCCACACCCGAGAATCATAACTTGGATCCAGGCCTTGCCCTGTACCGCTGGACGACTTCGGACAAGTCACTTAGCCTCTCTGAGCTGGCTCAGTTTCCCCATGTAATATGGAAACAATAACTTTGCCTTGCCAGGTTTTGCGGGAAGAAATATATGAGAACACGGGTGCGAACGTGTACACGTTCGTAGCTGTGCGCATGTCACCTGTTCTACTGATAGAGAAGGGCTGGAATTCGGAAAAGTGTGTGTGAGCCGACCTCACACGACTTGCCGAGTCCCTGAATGTCTACCAGCTGGTCTCCAGGGGACCGCGGCATGTAAAACCTCGACACCCTCAACAACGTCTCCTCTCCCACCAGCGGGGGGACAGCGCCAGCCGGGGGAGGGCCGCGCAGCTGTCTCCATCAGCATCCTCTCCACGAGGCCCACCTCCTTTGTCTGCCACCCCCCAGACCACCCCAAAAAACAGGCACCCGGCTCCCTCCCTCCCCCACAGCTCACGCCCCTCGCTGTCGCTAGCGTTGACAAATCCTCCAAATGGACCAGCTCTTTGCAGCCCCCAGGCAGTGGGTCTCCGGATGCCCAAACTCCCCAGGGATGGGGACAGTGGCCGACTGTAGAGAATGAGCAGGCCAGCAGCAGCCACGACTGGTGGCACAGACAGCGTAAGGCGAGTTCCACCTAACTTCTTCATGGGGCCTAAAGAAAAGGCGTTAAATGTGAGAGAAAAACTTTCTGTCGAAGGATCCTCATCACGGGTGTAGACACAGATAAATACCCCGAATTAAAGAATGGGTAGATAAAGTGTGGTACATCCACTCGATGTAAACTTTTCAAAATAATGTTTACAGAGGGCTTAAAATAAGGAAAAACACTTAAAAAGTTTTGTAAAAATATAGGATATAAAAGTGTATACTGAAATCAAAAACTACACATATTTGGGCCGGCCCCATGGCATAGTGGTTAAGTTCGTGCACTCTGCTTTGGCGGCCTGGGGTCACGGGGTTAGATCCTGGGTGCAGACCCAGCATCCTCGTCAAGCAACATTGTGGCAGCATCCCACATAAAGTATAGGAAGATTGGCACAGATGTTAGCTCAGTCACCATCTTCCTTAGGCAAAAAGAGGAAGATTAACAACAGATGTTAGCTCAGGGCCAATCTTCCGCAGGAAAAGAAAAAAAACAACTACACATATTTAAGAAGACAAACCCCCTTGCCAGTCACCTGGCTATGCACGCCCTCAGCCTACAGACAGGCCTTGACAAGTCTCAGGGTCCCTCTACAGAGGCCACCCCGACCCTTCGCACCACACAGACTTTGTCCCTTTGTCCTCAGCCCTGTCTCATTCATCCTCTACTTCCAGGACTGGCCACGGTTCACCACCGAGCATCCACGCTGCGGACCCACTCTGGGCAGAGACAAGGCTCACTACAATCCCGAGTTGGGAAACACGAACCCTGGAGCCTCCCGTTGGCACCCCGCTCCATCTTCCCAGGCTCAGAGTCTCCAAGAGGAAAGGCCGGGGCCGGGGGGTCCAAGCAGCCCACGGTTGTGAACTGGCCTCTTTCTGACCCCGGATGAGAGGGGCCTACACTTACAAGAGGCTCCCATGTGAGCTCTCCCGACCTCGGAGGAGGAGGAGGCGGAGGTGGGGACCACGCCAAGACCACGCCCCTCCTCCGCTCCTTCCACAAATCTGCGTGAGCACCCGCCACGTGCTGGCGACTCTGCTGGGCCCTGGGAGCGACAGGGGTCAACGCAGACACAGTGCCCGCCCTCAACAGCCAGAGGGTCTCCGGGACCTCTGCTCCCGCCCCCCGCCTCCCAGTCCTGCCCAGCTCTCCAGGTTCGGCCGACACAGGGATAGTCCTGGTCGACGGTGACCACCATCAATGGGGGTTACCAGTTATAATAAGGGGAAAACTCGAGATCAGTGGTTCTCAACAGCCTTTGGTCCGGGCCCCGGGGATCCCCAAGGCCCTTTGGAGGGGTCCACGAAGCCAAACTATCTTCCTAACGCTGCTGTGACCTTGCTTGTCTTTTTCCCTCTCGGTGCTTCCATACATGCACAGCAAAGCTTTCCAGAGCTTGCGCGAGAGACAGGTGACCCCACAACAGGCCAAAGGTGAAAGCAGTCTGGAGAACCAGGTCGCCTTCATGAAGCCAGACACTCGAGAGACTGGCAAAAACACAAAACAAGGCCACTCTTCCCCTTATGTCTTTTTTCGTTTGGAAAAATATCATCATTTTTAATAGAAAAATACGTGTGGGTTTATCTTGAGATGAATTAAAAGGTATTTTAGAATGCTGCCAGTTTTCGTTTCGTGCGTGATCAGCGTTCACAGACACAGTCCACAAACAAAAGTTCTTTGGTTCCTCAACAATTTTTAAGAGTCCAAAGGGGTTCCAGGACCACAAAGTTTGAGAAGCACCAACCCGCCAGCGTCGTCCAATGGAACTTCAGTGATGACGGCAACGGTCCTTATCTGTGCTGTTCAAAGAGGCGGCTGCCGGCCCCACGTGGCCAGTGAGCATTTACAATGTGGCTGGCGTGACTGCGGCACTGAATTTTTATTTTTATTTAATTTTAATTGACTTTGATCTAAAGAGCCGCCTGCACCTGACTCCTCCCAGCCACCCCGCCACTGGGAGCCCCCCCGGCTACACCATCTCCCAAATGGTTCTCCTGTGAAAGCGGGGATGGGAGCCCCTGCCAGATGGGCGTGGCCCTGCCCAACACTGGCCTGAACACGGGGCTCTTGAAACAGGCCTCACAGCTTTGCTAAAACCCTCAGAGCACAGGAACCGCCAAAGCAGAAATGTGGAGCACCCCCCTTCATCTCAGCTGCTCACAGCTGTGGGCTGGGAACCCTCAAATGCATTGCTTTAGGAAACAGACAGTAGAGTGGGGGAGAGCACACGCCTGCCCCTTACCCGCTGTGTGCCCTTGGACAAGTTACTTAACCTCTCTGAGCTTTAATCTCCAAAGCAGTCAAATGGGATCCTCCCTACCTCACAGAGTGATTGGAAAGATTAAGGAATGGCCTTGTGTATAAACACAGGCTGCTCCGGGTGGGGTGGGGGGGGGGCATGTTGTGTGGGTCTAGGACACTGAGTGGAAAAGAGGAAGTGCCAACCAAGAGAAGCGTTAGGTCCCGGCCCTGGACACGCACTCTGTCCTCTGGAGACTGACTCAGGAACCCGCCACTCACGTGCAGGGCACGCCCTTAAAGTAGACAAGCTCCGGGCTGGGGCTTCCAGAACCAGCATCTGACGTGCCCGGGAGCTTGCTAAAGTCCAGACCCCAAGTGCCCCTTGGCCTGCTGGCTCAGCACTCCCAAGGGGGGCAGGAACTCGTTCAACAAACCCCTTTGGGGTTCTCTGGCCAAACCCCAGGGTCAGGAACCCCACTCCCACCTCCTCCAGTGGAGACGGGGCCTCCGCCCTGCAGTTAGCAAGAGACAGGGGTTCCACGCACTGATCACAGTCTCCATGTCACAGGTGGGGAAACTGAGGCACGGAGTGGCTGAAGGACTTGTCTGGGCATCTCGCGGGCTGGCCAGCACAGGGCTGGACTTGGATCAGGTCCGACTGGCTCCAGATTCCAGACTCCCAGATGAAGTTTCCACGCCTCTCGGTGACAGGCCTGACCCCGAATGAGGACCCTTCGGCGACGGTTTGTTCTCACTGCGGTTACATGCCTGATAGTACCAGCCAGGCTCCGCGTGGGGCACAGTCGGGAGGGCGGTGGGGCAGCAATGTCCTCGGCCTGGCTGGCACGGCTTGCGGAGGCCAACGGTGTGCGTCTCTTCCCAAGCCATCTTCAGTGATGTCACTCCGGTGGCCACTGTGGGGGTATTGACGACACGGGACCTGGCAAATGCTGCACACCAGGCTTTGGGTTTTTTTTACCACTAAAATTTTTGAGCTGGCTTTCCTCCCTGGAGGAAAGACCCTGGGGGCAGTGAGTTTCCTTGGAAGCCACAGATGTGGCCAAGGGACACGACACTTGGGCGCTAGATAGTCCTGGCTTCAAAGTTTTGCTCTGCCGGTTAGAAGCTGGGTGCCCTTGGGAGAGTGGCCAAACCTCTCTGTGCTGTGGCTTCCTGCTTTGCAAGATCAGCTGGTAATCCTCACCCCACGGGGGGCTGTGTCAGTCAATGGCTGGAGCTTTTATAAAGCCAGTCTCGCACAGAGAGGGCCCCCAGGAGGAGCGCCACACAGGCGAGCTTCTACCTCCCTGGCTTCCTGCTCCTGCCCCTCGCACCTGCCGTGCACCACACCTGGGAGGACACCTGCGAAGGTGTGCTCCTAGGGAAGTGGCTGCTTGAATTTCCTACAGCTCTTTTGGGACCCCATGATGCTGTCCCCAACATCTGGTTGCACAGGATGTGGCGGCAAATTCGACAACTGCCTTTTGGACCAGCTCTCGGACCCCTCTCCCAGCCCCCTGAGCTCTGCCTGCCCCTCTGAGCAGCTGCAGTGCAGGAAGTCGGCCCGAGCCGTCCCCCATCCCCCCCCACCACCCAGTGGAGGACCGAGCCCAGATGCCGGGGCTCGTGCAGAGCTGTGGGGAAACACGCGGAGCACGTTGGTTTTGCAGACGGACATGAAAAGAGAGTTTGGAGTCCAAACCCCAGAAAACCCAGGCCTGTGGCTATTATCCTGCCTTCAGTCCCCCCCCCCCAAACCAGTGCCCTGCAGTGACCCCCACCTACGACCAAGGGAGCTTTCGACCAGCAGGGCCAGGCCCACTGGTTCTTCCCATCTCTGCATCCCCCGCCCCACTCCCAGGGCTTTCCTAGGATGCTCCCCAGCCTGAGCCCGACGGACGCTGCTGGAGAGAAGGATGCTCGCCCTGCCCCCACCCTAAGTGCGATTTCCGATCAAGAGAGAAAGCTAGCTCTGGTCTGTAATACTGATCTAAATCCCTCCCAGGGCTGGGGGCTCCTGGACCCTGGGACGGCCCAGGCCTTCTGCTTGGACCCTTTCAGGGAAATCCCACCGGGCGACACACAGGCCTCAGCCAGCAAGCTCCGGCTTGCCCCGCCAAGGCTGATGGACTAAGGATGAGGCCGTCCACTCCAGGCCTGCCCGCCAGCGCGGCCGTGCATCGGGGACGCATCACTGTCACCGGCGTGTGAGCCCGCTGACGGACCCCTGCCCCGACCTGCTCCCACCTTCCTCTCTCACCAGCTCCCATCCCTCACCCCACCCTGGCAGCGACCCCAACTCGGGAGCAGCCACCGAAGTGTCTGGAATGTCAAACAGGCCAGGCTGCTGCCGACCGCCCCCGGCTCCTTGGGGCATGACGGCCACTTTGCTGGGTCATCCTGGCATGTGATGGCCTCAAGGATGGACAGGAAGAGGGAGCTGGCGTCCAAATTTCCAGGGTCGTGCCCTCTCCACCCCACACGCCCAGCACACAGCCTAGAACGTCCCTGGGGCAGGGCCTGGCCTCGGAAGGGACCGGGTCAAGGAACACATTTTCCTTTCCTGCACTGTTTGTGATGTATGTGGAGGAGGTCCAGGGTCTGGGCCTGGGTGAAATGGAACCCTAGCCAACTGGCTTTCAGAAGGACGCTGGGGAGGAGAGAGGATTCTGGGAGACCTGTCCTGAGTTGGAATGAGGGGAAGGAATGTGATCAAGGCCCTACAGAACACCCTCCAGTATCCTCACCAGCCTGTCCACAGTCGGAAATTCCACCATTAGTGATTCATTCCTTTGTGCGGAGCAGGCTTTCTGACACCCCTGGAAGAGTGTCGTCCTCATTATCAAGGGTTGCTTTCCAAGTGGACAACTAAGGGAGTGAATCAGGAGCCGGCTGGGTGTCCCCCACTCACTGTCGTGCTGCATCTTCGAGCATCCCTTGTGTAGCGTTGCCTCACTGTACCCATCTTACAGCTTGGGACACTGAGGCACAGAGAGGGTAAGGAATCAGCCCAAGCCCTCACAAACGGAGGATGCAGATTTGATCCCAGGTCGAGCAAGACACAGCTCCTCCCTCCAGGAGTTCCTGGCTTGGGGGACGGGCACAAGCACCGAGGTGACGAAAGACAGGGCTCCAAGCTGAGGTGCCAGTGAGCACAGGGGCTGCTGGGAAGCAGTGGGGGGCCCCTAAGTCAGAGGAAGGCCGGAAGTTCCTCAGTGCTGATGCCTGATTGGGGCTTTGAAGGATGTATAGGAGTGAGCTGGGTGGATGAGGGAGTGAACCGGCACTTCAAAAGGTGCAGGGGCACAAAAAGGCAGGCTGTCCAGGGGACAACCTAGCATCCCAACCCTGGCATGGTGCCATGCTTTGGGGGGCCTCCTAAACAGCATCCCAGAACCCACATGGCCCCCTCCCTCTGCCTCAGGCCCTGGCAGAGGTCAACTTGCAGTGTCCCTGCCCCCAACCAGGGGCAAGCCCTTCCCCAGCCTCCCACCGACAGACCCCTGACCTCCAACCCTGACCCCAACTGATGGGAAATACTTGGTGATCTCCGCAGGGCGGGCAGACCAGAGGCAGCTTCCAGCGGCTGGGAGTGCCAGTGTAGACAGACAGAGAGACACGTGCACACACACGGGCAAGAGGACTAAACCTCCCCGAGGCATCTGCCAACTCAGAACCCGCCTCTCTGAGGAACGTGTCAGATGCTTTCACACCAGCTTGCACACGTGGGATTCCAGGTTCTGGAGCCCTGAAATAGCCTGGAATGTACTAGAACTAAGCATAAGGCACCTTGTCTCTGCCCATTCGACTCCGGTTGGGAGTTGCAGAATGACGCCCATCTAACTTGAGATAGATCCTTGATCCGGACACTCTGAGATTCCAGTTCAGATCCCGGAGCCGGGCCTGGTCCCCTCCCCAGTGAATGTCCACGTGCCGGGGACAGAGCAGCTGGCCCGGCCCTGGGAGGGGGCTGTGAGGACAAGCCCCTGGAAGCCTTGTCGTTGGGCTACTGGGGGCTTCAGAGGCTGGCGTACCCCAACGCTGTGCCCAGTATCGAATCAGCCAAGATCTTCCCTCTGGGGTTCAGCTGAAGAGGCCGGAAGGGCCACTGATTGGCACCAATGAGAATCTGAATGTTGCCATCACAACCCTAAATCTGGGGCAGGCAAGCACCCTCCCGGGATCTGCCTGCCCCTCTAACATACAGCTCTCATAATTTCTCTGGATTTTTCGGCATGAGAAGAAAGGGCCAAGTAACAGCGTCCCCATTGCCATCTCCGTCACTCGCTCCACCTCTGCCCTGAGGACCAGCTATGGTGGAGCAGAAGGTCAGGGGTTGCTCGGGGTGTGTGCCTCGGTCCTCCTCTGCTGCCCCCAAACCGCCCACTCCAGGAGCTTCTGCCAAAGGGACAAGGGAGAGGGGGTGGAGGCGTCGTGTCGGGAGATAAGCATGCTCCCCCACGTGGAGACATTTAGCTGGTCTGGCTGGGATCCCTGCAGAGCACACCAGGCAGCAAAGGCTAAGAAGTTCCATCATGAGTGCCGAGCGATTGGTCATGTCTGCCCAGAGCACGTCTTGAGAAGAATTCTGAGACCACACAGTGCTGCAGTTGATTGGTGATGTCTGCCATGGTCGCGGGTATTCACCCTCCCTGATCTGCAAGCTGGGGACCTTCCCTGAGCGGGGGACAATTCCCCAGCCAGGACTTTGGTAGCAGAGAAGGAGGCCCTGCCCAGTTGGGTATAAACAACCCGCCAGCCTCCCTGATAGATCTCGCAGGACCTTAAGAAACACATATTGCCCCCTCTTTCCCCAATTTGCCAGAACAGCGTCTGCTCCCTTTTCTGAAGACGTTAATGTCGGTTGTATTAGGAAACACTCGTCTAGAATAGAAACACATTACGGGGTTAATTCCTCCTCTGTAAAAATGACTAAATGCTTTCTTTCTCACCTGGGACCCGAGGGAGGGTTTGGCTGTCGCCAGAAATAACCTCGGACCCATCAAAAGCTCTACCCCTGGGCAGGCAGACGGGCTGGGCGCTGTGCTCTGGGCTAAAGTTCGCAGAAACACTTCCCGTGATGCTCTGCTCCAAAAGGCCAAATGTCCCGTGTAGTCTGGGCCACCTCATTTGGACACCTTGGCCTGCAGGGTGCTGGGCAGGTAGAGATACCTCCAAATGGCATAGTAGTGGGTACCAGCACCAAATGCCACAAAGAGATGCCAGATGGCGTGGGCAAAGGGGATCCTCCCGTCACTCTTGAAGAACACCATGCCCAAGCAGTAGAAAGCCCCTCCGGTCACCAGCTCCCAGAGGCCCTCGGTGTTGGGCTGTCGGCAAGGACAAGGGTGGGGCACAGGTCAGAGGGGCAGCCAGCAAGGCCGGGAGCACCCAACCATTCCCCCGCCCCCCGAAACGAAAGGACACGTGGATGGCGAGCCAGCCCGGATTCCCGGGTGGGGCGTCTCCACGCTATCGTCAATTCTCCCCAAATTAATTCACAAATGTAACGCACTTCCATCAAAATCTGAAAGAACATTTGATAGCTTTTTATCTTTTCTAAAAACGAATACATCTGGTACACCCCAAAGAAGGAAAACCAAAGACTCGAGCAGATGCTTATACAGCCAGGTTCCAGCAGCATCATTCACAAGGGCCGAAGGTGGAAGCAGCCCCAGGGTCCATCGGTGGATGGATAGATAAACACAGTGTTATTCGTGTTATTTCATACTGTGGAATATTATTCAGCCTTAAAAAGGAAGGAAATCCTGACACACACGACATGGATGCAACTTGAGGATAGCATGCTAAGTGAAAGAAGCCAGTCACAGGAGGACAAATAACGTATGCTTCTGTTTCTATGCAGATCAAATTCATAAGGACAGAAAGTAGAAGGATGGGCGCCGGGGGCGGGGGTGTTAGTGTTTAATGGGGACAGGGTTCCAGTTTGGGAAGATGGAAAAGTTCTGGAGATGGCTGCACAACAATGTGGAAGGACTGGACATCTAAAAATGGCTAAAATGGTCAATTTTATGTATATTTTATCACTATAAAAAAGAGTAATGCACGCCCATGGCAAAAAATTTTAGAGAAAACAACAACAAAAATGTCGTAGTCCTGGCCCTCAGAGATGAGCCCTCTTGACACTGGGGGTGCTTTCGGTTAAAGGAACTCAAGGAGAGTGGGAGGGATGGAGGAGTATGAGGAACCGGGCTGCCTGGGCCCACTGCCTCCAGGTGACCACCATTAACAGCATCTTGCAGCATCCTTCCAGAAACTGTCTTCACACGTACCATCTACAACATGCACTCACAGACGTGTACATGTGCACAGGAACGAGAGCTCTCCCCCCGCTTTTTGAACAGCTGCATAGTATTCCATTGTACAGATGTACAATAATTTATTCACTCAGTTCTCAGGAGTCCTATAATTGAATATTAATTACATAATGAGATTAGTAATACGTCATACTTCCTAGCACTTACCATGTGCCAGGTCTGTAGTGAGGGCCTCACATGAGTCATCGGACGCCAGCCTCACCACAGCCTCGAGGCAGGTGTTACCCTACATGACAGTCAGGGAAACACGCCCTCAGCATCCTGCTAAGCGAGAAGAGCATGCTGCAGAACAGGACGCACGGGGTGATCTCGGGTTTGTCAAAGAAAAACAAACAAGCCAATATATGTCTGCGTGTCCACCTAGACTGGCACGTCATAAGGAGGAAAACAGTACGGCGATTGCTCGAAAAATTAAAAATAGAAATACCATACGGCCCAGCTATCCCACTACTGGGTATTTATCCAAAGAACATGAAATCAACAATTCAAAGAGATTTATGCACCCCTGTGTTCATCGCGGCATTATCCACAATAGCCAAGATGTGGAAGCAACCCAAGTGCCCATGGACTGATGATTGGATAAAGAAGATGTGGTATATATATATATATATATACAGTGGAATACTACTTAGCCGTAAAAAAGACAAAATGGTCCCATTCACAACCACATGGATGGACCTTGAGGGTATGATGTTACGCAAAATAGGCCAGACAGAGAAAGACAAACAGCACATGATTTCACTCATATGTGGAAGATAAACAAACACATGGACAAAGAGAACAGATTAGTGGTTATCAGAGGGGAAGGGGGTTGGGGGGTGGGTGAAAGGGGTAAAGGGGCACGTATATATGGTGACTGACAAATAATAATGTACAACCAAAATTTCACCACGTTATAAACTATTATGACCTCAATAAAATAAAATAAAATAAAAAAGAGGAAAAAATGGAAAAGATGCTCAACAAACTGTGAATGGTGGCTGCAGCTGGGGCACCGTGTCGGGGAAGAAGTCGGGGGACCCCAGGTCCTCTATACATTTTCAGACGGGACTTATTTTTTGCAGTAAGTATGTACTGAAATATACACTTACTATACACATAAGTGTATATATGTAATTAAATATATATAATACATAATTTGATGGATATTATATAATTTAATAGATATAACTTAAATACACATTTTTAAATAAAAATAAACTTGGGGGAAATAGGTAACCTGTAAAAATGAGTACAAATCATAGAAAAATGTTGAGTGGGAAAAATAACGGGGCAAGACTTCACTGTCGAGTATTAAAATGCAATCAAAGCTACAACAAGTGAAAAGGTTTGGTACTAGTATAAAAACGGAATGGAAATCTCAGAAACAGACCCATGTATATATACGACTTTAACATACGATTAAAGGAACATTTAAAAATGGGAGCTAAGGGGCCGGCCCCGTGGCGCAGCGGTTAAGTTCGCACGTTCCGCTTCGGCGGCCCGGGGTTCACCAGTTCAGATCCCGGGTGCAGACATGGCACTGCTTGGCAAGCCATGCTGTGGCAGGCATCCCACATATAAGTAGATGTTAGCCCAGGGCCAGTTTTCCTCAGCAAAAAGAGGAGGACTGGCAGCAGATGTTAGCTCAGAGCTAATCTTCCTCAAAAAAAAAAAAAAAAAGGTAGCTAAATGAAATAAGTGGCTATCATTTGGGGAAGAAAGAAGAACATACATATGTAAAAGAAACTACAGCGAGAATAAAGTGTTAAAAATTAAAAATTAAACCATAAAAGAAAGAGGAGAAAATATAGGTAGATATTCATATAACCTTGGGAATGGAAAGGCTTTCCTAATCATAACACTTAAGGTAAAAGCCATAAAATTAAGAAAAAAAAAACTTGTTAGATTTGACTACATAAAATTTTAACATCTGCCAATTGTAAAGTAACAAATCGCTATCTGGCCTAGGGAGGTGGGTAGGCTGAGTTTACTGTGCCCACTGGACAGATGGGGCAACTGAGGCTCAGAGAGGAGAGGTGATCCATGCATGGCCATGTCGGCTGCTTCTCTTCCCCCTGTCTGCAGGGCTCTATCATGCACGAGGCGAGGCAGAGCAGCTCAAAGATCCCAATAATCACCTTCAGGGCATGGGGCCGAATCCTGACTGCATGTCCTCGGCCGGCCACTTCCCCTCTCTGAGCCTGAGCATCCTCATTCGTGAAATGGTGGCCACATTCATCTCCAAGGATACAAGACGGGGCAGTCAGAGCCCGGAGTCCGGGTCTGCCTCCGTCATCAGTTAATGTCATCAGCCGAGACTAAATTCAGCGACTGGGCTCTTACAGTGTCCCAGACGCTGTGCTGAGCCCTTTCCGTGGGTTTTCTTATTCATAATCCTCAAGCAGATGGGGAAACGGACGGACGTGCAGAGGGCAATGAACTCCCTGAACGTAGCAGTGAGTGGGAGCTGGAGGGCCTGGTGGCCAAGCCCTCAGGATTAACCTGCCCGATCCACCGTCCCTGTAGGCAAGCCACACTGGCCCTGGGCCTCAGTTTCCCCGTCTGCCAGAGGACACGGTTCGACTTGACGACCTCGAGAGTCGCTCTGGGTCCCCTCAAGCCAGATGTGAGGCCCCACGCTGGGTGAGCGGGACTTACCATGGAAAGGATGACAAGGGCGGGGAAAAAGCCCATAACGATATAGCAGAGCAGCTCCACCAGCTTGTACCTGGCAGGAAGACAAGCCATCGTGGCCTCAGGACGGCCTCCCCGTGAGGACCAGCGTAGGAGGGGACACCCTGACCGGAAGAGTGAGAAGAAGGGACTCCATCCTCTGCCCGGCACTCCTGGCCCCACATTTCACCCAGATACACCCAAAAGGAGCTGGCAGAGTTGGGCGACCTTGGGCAGGTCTCTTTCCCTCTCCGAGACTTGGTTTCCACACCCGTGAAATGACATGCCGGGATGGCAAGGCCGGGTATAGCTTGCATATGGGCACTGCCCACGCTCAACCCCAGGGCAGACATTACTATTCGATCCCAGCACCATTTCCCACGGGCCCCAGGCAGCCACTATCAGTGGATCTGAGTGGCTGTGTCAACCGACACCTGTTTGCCACCCCTGGAGATTCCAGGAGTCTGTCACTCCCTTTCGCTTCTATAGCTCAGTTTCTTTCCCCACTTAATCATTCCCATCTTGTCACTCAGTAAGATGGAGGTGGACAGGGTCTGGATCGCTCAGAGCCTCTCCCCGTTATCTGCTAACACAGCTTTGGGACGACAGTAACCTGTGGCACAGTTCAGTGGGGCTAGGAACCTACCAGGTCTTTCTCAAAAACTTTTCAGATTGACCCTATGGGCTGTGGACCTGGTGGCCATCCATGGGCCTGAAGACAAGGATCCCAGGTGGAGCTGTGCCCTGACACTTCTGAGGTCATCCTGGGGCCTCATCTCCTCTGGAGCATCAAGGGGCCCCCCACCCGCCTGAGCCCCCCAGCCCTGGCTTACCGCTCGTGGAAGAAGAAGACGTAGACAGTGCCGACAGAGGCCATGATCCACACCAGCCAGCGCATGTGGGAGGCCCAGGGGCCCAGCTCCCGAAGGTTCAGCCTGGGAGAGAGAGCCGAGGACACAGCCTGAGGGGGGCCCACGGGGACCTAGCCCTCGATGGCCGGCCCGTCACAGGAAAACTGACCCCAGAGAAGCCCTTCCGCTTGCGGCTTCAAAAATGAGATGGGCTCTCACGGGAAGACGCAGGGAGAGACAGAAAGAAGGGCAGAAATAATAAGCAATTATTAAGGGAAAATTAGCAAAACTGATCACATCTAAGCGTGAAGCGAAAGGACGTATCAAACTGATAGGAGTGTAAATGGGTAACGCCTGTTGGGGGGCCAGCCTGGTGGCACAGTGGTTAAGTTCATGGGCTCTGCTTCAGCAGCCTGGGTTCATGGGTTCGGATCCCGGGATCGGACCTACACACCACTCATTCAGCCATGCTGTGGCAGCAACCCACATACAAAATAGAGGAAGACTGCCACAGATGTTAGCTCAGGGCCAATCTTCCTCAGCAAAAGAAAAAAAAAATTGGAGTCTCCTGGGGACTGAGAGTGGCTTTTCTCTCCCCTGCTTGACCCAGGCTGCTTCTCCAGGCGAGGTGCCTGCAGGGCACAGCTTTCTCCAGCATTTGGCCTCAGCGTGTTTTCTCTAGCTGTTGACTTCGATAATAGCAGCACAGCCTCAGGCCCCAGCCAGTGCAGCCTAGGCCTCAGCCAGGCTCCTGCACCCTCTCCTCGGCCCCACACACATGCACACTGGGGCTCCCCATGGGGATTCCTGTGCAGCAAGCTGACCCTCCTCCTGTGTAGCTGTCTACACAACTCAGCTGCACAGAAATGCCTAGGGTTCCTGCAGAGGGACCTATCCAAGCGCTGGTTCCAGGAGCCCCCAGCAACCAGCAGCTCCCCGGCGTGCAGAAAGCACCGTAGCTCGGCACCTCTCCCGGGGTGGCCTCCTCCAGCATCCCAGAGGGAAAGCCCCACCCACAGACCCCTCAGCAACTTCTCTGCCATCCAGTGCGCCAAGGCCATGCCCTTTCCGATGAGGCGGGGTCTCCACCCTGGGCGGAGGGGGGTTGGTGGTGCTTGTCTCTTAAATCTGCCACTAACGGATTCCCAGAATCGTCTTTAACTCTCAGTAGTCAGCTCTCCATTACTTCAGTCCCCCCATAACAATCCTTTCTACTACATTTCCTGCGGTCAAATCATTGTACGGTTTCTGTCTCCTGACTACACCCTGGCTGATGTAGCAGCCTGTGGACTATTCATAGCAATTTGGAAAATCTGAGAATGCTCTGTTTGCACCGACACGGAGAGATCTCCAAGACCTTGCTGCTGGGGGCGGGGGGAGCGGGTCGAGAACGACACGACTATAATCTTTGTACATATGAAGAGAGACAGGGAATCGCGCAGAAACAGATCTGAACGCCTTCCAAAGGGGTAATGATGGCTTCCTCTAGAAAAGGACAGTTGGTGGTGGCAGTTGGGGACAGAGGTCCTTGCACTTTTTTTCTGGAATAAATTTCTTGAATGAGAACACCTTACATAAAACTTCTGTCCCCTTCCCCCAAAAAAAGTGAGGGGCCGGCCCGGTGGTGCAGTGGTTAAGTGTGCACGTTCTGCTTTGGCGGCCCGGGGTTCGCCGGTTCAGATCTCGGGTGTGGACAGGGCACCGCTTGGCAAGCCATGCTGTGGCAGGCGTCCCACATATAAAGTAGAGGAAGATGGGCACGGATGTGCGCTCAGTCTTCCTCAGCAAAAAGAGGAGGATTGGCGGCAGATGTTAGCTCAGGGCTAATCTTCCTCAAAAAAAAAATTTTTTTTTTTAAGTGACCTGCTCAGTGTCCAACTGTCATAAAGAAGTTAGGTTATATTGAAAAGTTTAAAAGGAAAAAATAATAACCTGCCACATTCCCCAAAAGAACCATCAGTGAAGACCATTCCAGAGATCTTTTCAAACAGACACAAAAATAGCAGAAGGATGAGGGTAAAAGGGGATAGACAGGGAGAGGGATGGACAGAAGGACAGGATGGGACGGAGGAAAGGGAAAAAGAGCGAGAATCAAATGATACGTCATTGTTTTATTAAAAGTATTACATTTAATTTTAACCTGACTTTAACAGAAGAAAATGGAAAAAAAATTGCTGAACTTCAAAAGAATATTTCTTCCCCATAAAACTCACTTTTGACTCTGAAGTTGAGATAAATTATGAAAAGCATCAGGCAGTTGCTTTTTCAGCTTACAGGTAGCCATTGTAACAGCAGCGAAGCTCCATCGATGGACTCCCACCTCAAAAGACAAGAGCGTCAGCATCTCGTGCTCCCTCCACCGACCACCCCGTCTTTCTTAGTGATACTAAGAGACAGCCGCCACCAGGATGTCCCTCTCGAGGCCTGCAACATTCGCGCTCTGATCCATAACCGTAATTCACACAGCTGTTTAATACAGGTCCTTTTTTTAAAAAAATGGAGTCAACGTTTACCACCATTCTCGAGGGTTTTTTTTGAACCCTTCTCTTAAATGGCTAGATTTTGTTGTCCAAAAAGTTTTTTCTGAGAAGTCTTCATGGGAGCTGTGCTCTCTGACTGTTCTCACAGACAAGAATGGTTTTCTTCACGTCCACACGATAACCTCGCTGGATAGTTTATTCCGAAGTCACCTTTGGAAAGTGTAGCAGTGTCCCCCCGTGTTCCGGCATGGAACGGCGCTGCGGCCACATCTGGGGCAGCCCGATCGCTCCCCTCCATAAGTGATTTGTTCTTCCAACCTCGACGCCTGAAGATTTTTGTCTCCGTCCTTCGTTTCGATCAGCTTCTCTCTGATGGCTTTAATTTGGGGCTTTTCAAAAAACGTGTGTCCCCCCCCCCAACCACCTTGTCTTCCGTCTATGTCCGCATTCGACTTTCGGTTCCATTGGAATGTGGCTTTGGTCTCGGGCTGGTTCCCTCGGGTGTGCGGTCTCCATTTCCATGCCTTTCGGTTGTTTCATCATCTCGTCTCTGCGCTCCTGTCCGATGATATCCATTCTCTTGTCACACGGGCTGGAAGTCACCCACAGGTCAGCAGGGCCAGCAGGCGGGAGGAAAGCTGGGACATGAAGTGGGGAAGCCTGAGGACGAACTGGACCTGCACGTGTCTCCCACTATCGCCAACCTTGAGGACACAGGTGGCCTGCAGAGGAAGCGTGGAGCTGCACACACACTCGTCCCAAGACCCAGAGAAGCTGATGGAGGAGGTCCCAGGCCGTCAAGAGGAGCCAACAGACCGGGGACAGTGGGTGTCAGCAACAGCCCCAGTACCACACACCAGAAGGCGCTGTTTCATTTCCACCTTCCCACCTGGAACCTACGGGGAAGGGAAGCCTGAAAACTGTGGTCCCAGCTTAGTGAGGCGAACACAGACCCAACCCACCAGGCCTGCGCAGCTCAGCCCGTGACCCTGGAGCTGGCTCCCGTGCCCATCCCCTCCTCTCACACTTTCCCCAGGAGCCTTCTCCAGGTCCTGCAGTTGGCAGAGACGAAAGATCAGCATGCCCTCTGCAGGCGTGGGTTATGGGTGGGAATCCTCGGGGTGGCTGCTGACACCCCAATGCTGCTCCACTCTGTTCCAGAACCTTGTGACTCTGAAATCACGGCCTTGAGCTGTGTCCTATTCCTGGTCAAGGGGTGAACAGTGATTTTTCTTTTGCCCTCCTCAATATTTATAACTTTATTTTGCTTGTTTTCTGAAGCGTAGGGGATGGAAGATTCTGTGTCCCACTGGAGGCTACCACTCTTGTCTATCATTGGTGACATGGTCCTGCCTCGTCAGTCACGTGAATGATGTCCGTGTGCTGGTCAATGTGCCCTTAGTTTGTCTCTGTTCACGACAGCTCCCGGGGGTGTGTACTATCATTGTCTCCATTTTACAGGGCAGGAAACTGAGGCTCAGAGAGACCCAGGAATTGCCCCAGGGGCACCCTGCTACGAAAAGGCTGGCCCAGGACCAGAACTTTGTGCTGTCTGACCCCACAATCTATTCTCTTTCTGCTATGCCATCTTTTAACTATCTTTTACACCCTTTCTTTAAATAAAGATTGTATGCAGGACGCTTATACATAAGTCCACTCTATCAAAAACAAAAATTGAAATTAAAAAAATGGTTTTTTTCTGATTGGAGCAGAAACGGGGGAGCCCAGCCTTCCACGCCTCCAGCCGCTCTGTGGTCCTCAGGGAACCTCCAGGCTGTGCAGGACACAGCTTGAAAACCCGAGCAACACAAGAAAAATACGCGCCACATAATTCTACACCACGTTGTCCCACGTCCCCTCTCCACCACTCACCCAGGGGCCCAGCCAGGAAACTGGTCACCGCCAGCTCTGCCTCTCTCTCACCCCCTAATCCAGTGGAGCCCCAAGTTCTGCCAATTCCTCCTCCTAAACGGCTCGCGAACCCGGGCACATCTCGGCACCTGGACCCCTCCCCTTCCTGGCACTTAACACAATTGTAACTCATCTCTTTGTGTCAGTATTGGGACAGTCACTATGTGGGTTCCCTCTGGGACCCCAAGTCCCCTAAGGAGTGAGGGCTCCTGCCTTTGTTTACGGCCACATCCTCAGCTACCACAGGGGGCGGGCACGGAGCCCGTGCTCACTCAGTCACAGCCCCGGATAAAGAATAGAACCCGGCCATGAAGTCAGTACAGGGTTGTTCTAGAATTCTCCGTCAAGGATAGTTACCGCCGTTGAGCACAAAAGTTAGCTCTACTCCACTCGGCAACATCCAAAAAGAAGCCTGAGATGACCTGGCTCCCAGCAACTGAAGGTGGGGCCTGGGGCCGACGGGGCCAACAAGAAGTGTCTGCGTGGATGGGCGTCCATCCGTCTGCTCCCCTCAACCTCCATGGCCACTACGGGGTTCCAGACCACCCCCGTTTCTCTCCGGGCTGCTTGTACCTGCCTCCTCTGCACCTCCCTGCTCCCAAGGCAGCCACACTTCAGTCTGCAAACTAGAACCACGTCAATATCCGGCTTCAAACCCCCATCCACTGCTGAGTGCAGACCCACCTGTGCTCCATTCACCCCCACACCTGCACAGGAGGGTCCAGAGGAGAGGAAACCATGCCACGGCCTGCCACAGGAGCGTCGACACCTGTGGCGTATTCTCCCAGGATAGGGTCTGCGACGGCCGACTCCTGCACAAGGACTCCATGAGTCACCAGACGCCACGTTGAGTGAAACAGGCAAAGTCCGAAAGGATGAGGATTCCATTAACATGAACTAAGAAATCAGGCGAATTACTGTGGATAATTCAGACTGTGGGTATCTCGGGGGGATGGTGACAGGAGATGGGGACGAAGGGCCGGATGTATCCTGTTTCTCCATCTCGGATCTGGCTGCCATGTGTGAAAGGCTCTGAGATGTACCTTCATGACGGTGCGAGTGCTCCAGGTGTGGGACACCTTATAGAATGTTGACAAAGCAATTGCCTTAGCGTAGACACACAAAGCGCACTTATTAGCTGAAATACTGAAAGAGAATGCCCCATTTATGACAGCCCAAAACAGAAACCCCCTGGGCAAGATGGAGCAACAAAGCTTTCTGTGGCTCCCCCTCCTCAGATGCCAACGTCCGGAGTCTCAGAGTGACACATCTCCAGGAAGCCCTCCTGAGGCCCCCAGGCCAGGGCAGAGCCTCCTCTGAGCTGCCACGGCAGTGTGTGCACAGGCCCGCCTCACCATCATCACTGTCCTGTCACCGACCACCTGTACTGAGCAGAACCTCAGCGCCCCGACCCCCTGCACGGCCCGGCCATGGAGAACGCGGTCAACAAACATGAGCGGGATGGTCCTTTTCCCTTCGCAGGAGCTCGCAGCCTCCCAGGCTTGAACTCCCGATGCTTCTCCCCCAAAGATCAGGCCCGACCACCTGGAGCTGCCGTTTCTGGAGTCGAAAAAGGTCGCCTCTAAGCAAGTGCCTCTGATTCAAGCCACGCACCCACGCACGTGTGCCAAACGCGACCCACACAAGGGTATTCCCTGCGGGGCTGTCGTTAGAGCAACGGAAGGGGCTGTCCCAACCTCGTAAAGATCCACAAACAGCAGGCCGGCCAGGGAATATTATGCTGCCGTGAGAAAAATAGCAGGGAAATCTTCCAGGCACTGATACGGAGAGACGTCCCCAGCTACGGCACTGTGAGAGCGGGAGCAAATTACAGAGCGGTGGGTACCATCCTCCCGTTTGTATCAAAAGTCAGAGAAAAGCATAAGTATAAATATACACTTACTAATATGTAAGCATACAGCTATGTATGTGCATGGACACACACGTATCTATACAAGTTTGCACACACATTTACACACGCTCGCTCTTTTGTGCATAAAGTCACTCTGGCAGGACGCACGAGAAACCGGGACTAAGCAGTTGCTTCTAGGAAGGCAGACGGGCGGGGGGCCGACTTTGACCTACACTCTTTTGCGCTGAGTCTCCACACTCACCAGCCAGACACAAAGAGAAAGTCAAACAAAGCAAAGAGAGGAAGCGGCCGCTGCCGGGCGGGCAGCCACGGAGGTACTCACCAGGGCGCGTAGGAGGCGGCGATGAAGAAATAGATGACCATGCGGTCGACCATGTGCAGGCAGTGTTCCACCATCCTGGGGCAGAGAAGGGCGGTTAGGGCCGCGGAGCCGCGCCCGGGCCTGGCCCAACGCGCTTTCCCACACGGGGAGGGCCTGGGCTCGGGCTGACTCGCCTCTGTCCAGCCACGGGCCTCAGTCTCGCCATCTGTGAGGGACCAGAGCAGTGACTTTCAAACCAGGCTCCCCATCACCCTAGGGGTTGAACAGAGACCCCTCGGGGTCGCGCTGAGGACCCTCCTCTCCCGGAAAGGTGAAAGTCTGACAGCATCCTCCCCTTCTTTAATCAGAGCCGCTCTGCATTTCTGTTTCATAGACTGGGCTTCTCAAAAAGTTTCAGGGCCGGTACGGTAGCGTAGTGGTTAAGTTTTTGTGCTCTGCTTCAGCGGCGGTCCAGGGTTTGTGGGTTTGGACCCACACACCGCTCATCAAGCCATGCCGTCATGGTGTCCCACATACAAAATAGAGGACGACTGGCACAGATGTTGGCTCAGGGCCAATCTTCCTCACCACAAAAAAAAAAAAAAGGATTTCAAATGATGAAAGAATTCTATGGTTAAAGATAAATAAATAAAAGCACAAACAAAGCTGTGTGGCCCCGGAGGACCCTCTGGGTTCTGGTATTCTGGTTCAGGTCCAGGCTCTGGAGCCAGGAGGCCTGGGTTCGAATCCCAACCCTACCATTAAGGGACTATGACCTTGAACAAGTTACTTACCCTCCCCGGGTCTCAGTTCCCTCATCTGTGAAGTGGGGTGGATATCAGCAACCCATCACGGGGTTGCTGTGAGGATTAAGTGAGGTGGTACTTAGCACAGTGCATCCAAGAAGTGCTCAATAAACATTAGCCATTTTTGTTATGACCTCACCTTGAACAGCAAACTCTAGCCTTCAATACATTGGACCTGTGTGGTAGCCATCCTCCAAAATGGCGCCCAAGGGGCCCCACCTTCTGGTATTCGCACCCGTGTGTAGCCCCCTCCCACAAAGAATAAGGCAAATGCGTGTAGCCAATAGGAGATGCAGAAATGATGGCGTGTGGTTTCTGAGGCCAGATCACCAAAATATTACAGCCTCTGCCTTGTTCTCTCGGATCCCTAACTTTGGGGGGAACAAGCCATCACGTGGCTGTGGAGAGTTCCACGTGGGAAGGACTGAGCATCCCCAAACATCCAGCGCCAACTTGCCAATCACGTAAGGGAGCCAACTTGGAAGTGGCCTCTCCAGCCCCAGTCAAGCCTTCAGATGGCGGCGGCCCCAGGCCAGCGTGTTGACTACATCAGAGACAGTGAACCAGAACCCACAGGTAAGCTCCTGAATTCCTGACTTGCTGAAACTTTGAGAGAGGATGGGGGGGGGGGGTTTATTGTTATTTTAAACCACTATGATTTAGGGTAATTTGTTACCCAGCAACAGGTAACTCATACAAACTGTGGTTCCGTCTAGCCAACCACAGCCCTCCATAAATTTGACCGGTGATACTACGTATGGTTTAACTGCACGTCTTCCTAGAAATAAAAGTAACAGAAACAGCCGACGTGTACCGAGCACGTCCCAGCATCAGGGCACTCTTCTAAGCTCTTTACGAGCGCGAGCTCTTTAATCCCACCTAGGAGGCAGGTACCAATATTTTCATCCACCGTGTCACAGATGAGGATGCCAAAGGGCAGCTCCGTCACACCACTGGTAAGTGGGCCCTAAACCCAATGACTGGTGTGTTTAGGAGAAAAAAGAGAGGGAGATTCAGACGCAGACACACACAGGCGGGAAGGCCGTGTGAAGACAGAGGCAGAGATAGGAGGGATGCAACCACGAGCCAAGGAAGACTAGGAGCCTCTACAAGCTGGAAGGGTTCTCCCGTAGAGACTTTGGAGGGCGCAAGGCCCACTGACATCTTGCCCTTGGACTTCTGGCCTTCTAAACTATTAGAGAATAAATTCCGCTGTTTTACGCCACCCAATTTACAGTAATTTGTTATAGCAGCTCCAGGAAACGCATACAATGGTGCTCAACAGGGACCCACAGAGAGGGGAAGAACAGTGACAGGAGCGGGGTAGGACACAGCACAGTCCCGGGCTTCTGGGGGCAAGGGGGGCACTGGCATGGGGGTGAGTGGCCCCTGCAGCTGCTGCAATGGGCTAGGGCGTCCCCTCGCTTTGCGGGGCACCCTGGCCTCTTGAAATCAGCACTGGCTTGGACACGACCAGCTCTGCGACCTTAAGCAAGGCCCGCCACCTTCTGAGCTTCAGCGTCATCATCCACAGAACGGGGATTATACCGGCTGCAACGTGGAAGAGCCGGGGGTAGCACACTCAGCGAAAGAAGCCGGTACACAGGGTGGAAGCAGCCCGAGCGTCCATCGACCGATGCGCGGACAAAATGCATCCAGACACGCAACGGGATGTTACTCAGAGTTCTGACACCTGCTCCAACACGGACAAACCCTGAGGACATGATGCTAAGTGAAACAAGCCAGTGACAAAAGGACAAATACTGTGTGAGTCCACTTCGATGAGGTCCCTGGAATAGCCAGGTTCACGGAGAGAGAAAGTAGAAGGGTGGCGGCCAGGACTGGGGGAGGGGTGGGAAGCGAGTGTTTAGTGGGGGCAGAGTTTCAGTTTGGGAAGATGGAAAGTTCTGGAGATGGATGGTGGTGATGCCTGCACGACAATGTGAATGTGCTCAAGGCCACTAGACTCCCACACTTAAAATGGTTCAGACCGTCAATTTTAGGTTATGCGTATTTACCACAATTTTTTTAAAAATTAAAAACAAAACAAATCAAAAGGAGAGTCTGGGATTCCAACACCTGCATTGCAGAGTTCTTGAGAAGGTCGGGAAGGACATCTGCAGAGTGCCCCGAAGCTGGGCGGCGCCCAGAAGGAGCCATTAGGATGATGGTGGTGATGGTCCCTCCCAGCAGCCCTGGGAGCTGGGCGCTCACTCTTTGCACCTCTCAGAGGTCAGCAGAGGAGGCCAGTGCGTGTGAGGTGGTCAGCCCAGGTGGGATTCAACCCTGACCGGCCCCCGGCAAAGACAGCGCAAGGAACATCCACTCTGGGCCTGACGCCCATGGCCAACCCTGCGTCCTGCCACAGCCCTTGGCCCGCTGGGGGTCCTGGCCCCAGGTCACCCCGCCCAGCATGTGCCCCCTCCCACGGGTTGGGCAGACGTACCTGAGGTGGCTCTTCTTCCAGGAGATCGTGTGGAACACGGTGGACACCACAAAGAGCCCGCAGAGCCCGAGGCCGTAGATCCAGGCAGAAATGGTCTCCCAGTCATCGTCCGACAGGAAGTAGAGGTTGGAGCTGCCGAGGATGCTGGGAATGATCCAGAGCTGGAAGCGGGGAGGGCAGGGGGCAAGTGCTCCAGGGCCAGCCTTCGGGGTGGCGTCCAGGGAAGGACAGAGCCCCCGAGCATCCCTGAGCAAACTCCCCACCATTGTCCCAGAACCAGGCTGTGCAACAGAATTTCGTGTGGCTATTAAAATGTCCTAGACCTGCACTGTCTGACAGAACTTCCCTCGATGGTGGAAATGTCTAAGACAGGAAGCCAAGACCCCTGCCTTCAAGGAGCGTCACTGCTCACTGCCCCCACACTCTGAGTCCACTGTACCCCCTATCCCGGGGTCCCCTGGCACGCCGTGTGCTTCACGTCTCTGCGTTGTTGCACACGTGGCTCCCTCCCCACTATGTCTGCCTGAAAAGCCCCCACTCTTCAAATCTTGGTTTATCCATCGTTTCCTCTGAGGGGTCTCAGAACTCTCCAAAACACTGCGGGCGGGGGGTCCCTGCAAGTGTCTGCCCAATTCTGCGCGTGGGGAGCACTTTTTCTGGAGGGCGGGGTCTATGCAGCACCGGCCCATAGAAATATAACTCGCCTCGCACAGGAAATTTTAGATTTGAAAGCAGCCACGTTTAAAAAAGGAAAAATATATAGATGAAATTAACTTTCATCATATTTTTTGTTCAGCCCCATATATCCAAGATATTATCATTTCAACAAGTCATTAATATAAAAAATTATTCAGGAGACTTTTTTGCTTTCCTCTTTTCACGCTCAGCCTTCAAAGCTGGCGTGTACTTTACGCTCAGAACACATCTCAATTCAGACGAGCCGCATGTCAAGCGCTCAACAGCCACACGGGGCCAGTGGCCACTGAACCGGACAACGGACGTCTAGACCTTTCGTTAGATGCTCAAAGGGGATCAAAGCCCACCTGGGACATCGCCATGGGAGGGAGACGTCGAATCTCTCCAGTGGGGGACAGGCTACCTCCCCCCCACCTGGAAGTGTCCCCCCGTCAGCTCTCAGCCCCCCAAAGCCGACTCACAGCGTGGGTGGCACAGTTGGCGGCATGTTCGTACTCCGTGGGCTGGTACCTCTTGTGGGCGGGGACTCGGTGGTTCATGAACCTGGAACAAGAGGCACGATTCCTGGCAGCTCAGCCGGGAAGCCGGGAGCAGCTGTGGTCGCAGAATTCCCAGGAGGCCTGAAGACCTCGGCCCCTACCGGCCGGAAGAGAGGGTCCCCTCCTCGCCTCCTCCCCACCACCCCCATCCCTGTCTACCTCCCTCCCTCTCCCTCCCTTTCTATTACATGTTTTTTCGACTATCCAATATTTTGTGTCTAATCCCCAATGTGGGGCTTGTTAAAAAAACTTTGCTAAAAACTGAGACACAGCTTTCTCTGCATTTCCTATTTTTTCCTTCCTCCCCGAGGGTCCAGCTTGCTAAATTTCTCCACGCACGCACGCGCCCATGTACCCACCACCCAGGAGCAGCCAGAGCTCATTTCCTGCCCCCAGGAAATGCCCTGACACCCCTTCCCAGGGGGGGATCTTTCCCCCAAGGACACCTCCCCTGACACTCTCATCATCTGCTGGTTTGGCCTGTTCTTGAACTTCTTATCAATGGGGTCACACAGCACAAAACCTTCTGTGTCTGGTTTCCTTGGCTCAACGTGACTTTGGTGCAATCCACTCACGTTGGATGCAGCAACTGGTTGTTTTCATGGCAGTATAGTATTCCCCTGGGCGAACGTACCACCACCTATGTGCTCAATCTACTGGAGGTGGACGTTCCAGTTTGGGCCTACAAAATGGTGAACATCTGTACTCGCTTCTGGCGGCATAGAACTGCCAACGTGGAATTGCCAGGTGACTTTATCTTCATAACAAACATTCCTGATGTTCTGGTGTCTTTCCGGAATCTTCCAAGCCTCGCCCCCTCCCGTCTCTCGATTGCTCCACACTGGAGCTCCACAAGCACACGGGGCTCTCACCAGGCCCATTTTATGGCGGAGGAGCCTCGGAGCAGAGAGGTTAGGAAGTGACAGCCCCCAGGACAGGACTGTGCAGGGGTGTTGAGGTCAGGCTGGGAAGGGAAGCCAGGCAGGGCAGGGAAAGTGGCCGCCAAGAGCTTCGAGCAAGATCCGCAGGCACCCGGCTGCAAGCAGGACCAGCTCAGCAGGGGCCACCGCCTCTGCCTACGCAGGCTCAGAATCAGGCAAGCGGACAGGTCACCTGGGACTCTGCCAAGGGACAGCCACCAGATGGGGCGAAATTCCACAGAAACACCGGAAACTTCTCCCCCAAGATCCCAATTATTACTACGAAGACCCATAAAAATGAGATGTGAGCGCGTGATTCAGAACAAAAGGGCTCGATGCAGGATAGTCCACGGAGCAGTTATTAAGCACTTTCTGTATGCTGGGGCCAGGCTTGGTGCAGCTCACTGAGCATTTACTGAGCACCTTCTGTATGCTAATGTCATGCTAGTACAGTGCACCAAGAATTTATTGAGCACTTTCTGTACGCCAACACCACGCCAGGACAGAGCACAGAGCATTTATTGAGCACCTTCTGTGTGTTGAATCCATGCCAATAAAGTTCACGGAGCATTTATTGAGTACCTTCTGTATGCTGGATCCATGCTAGGTACAATTCACCAAGGATTTATCAGCACCTTCTATATCCTGGATCTATGCCAGTATGGTTCATGTGGCATTTATTAAACACCTTCTGTATGCTGGCTCAACACTCAGACCTGGGGACAGAGGGATGGCATGACCCGGCCTTACCCTCGAGGAGCTCACAGCCCAGAAGACATCGGATGCAAGCAGAAATCCCAAGACAATGTGATAAGTGCCTCTCATCCTCCCAGGGAACACCTGCTGAGCACCCACTTTGTGCCGGCAAGGGTGTGGGGGTGGGTGCTCTCGGAGCTCAGAGGAAGATCAGAGAGCAGAGGGAGGGCTCCCTGGGGGCAAGGCCCACACTGTGTCTGTGGGTTCCCGGGGCACAGGCTGACCACGACACCCGGGGGCCTGGCAGAGCTCCTGGCACCACAGCAGGTACCCAGCAAATGGATGCTGAAGGAGGAAATGAAGAGTTTACCAGGTGAAGGAAAAGGCAGGAGTGGAAAGGGTGCTCGTGGCGCAGAGGCCGGCATGAACAGGCAAGGAGAGCCCAGAGCGCTTTGCCAGCAGCCTGGCGCATGCAGGGCAGGAAGGAGCAAAGGCTGGAGCGTGGGGACATCCGCCAGGTGATAGTGCCACGTGCCCCAGGACTCCTGGGCTCTGCTTTTCCTCTACTGGCCCCTCGGCACCTGGACGAGTCTGGGGGTCCAAGTCTGCTCCCCACCACCTGCTTGGAAGCTGCTCTCTGCCTGCAGCCAGCGGTCACTCCACCACGGCAAGGCCAGGGTCATGCTGAGCCCATTAGATAGATGAGAAGACTAAGGGCTTCTGGCAGCAAGTCCCAGGACAGGGCTTCTGAGCCAGGCCAGCCAGACGTCAGCGCTGCATCTCCCACAGGGTCTGGACACTCGGGCAGGGGCAGACGAACCACCGAGCTTACGGTCCCAGAGAAAGTGGAGGACCCGCCCCTGAGGGTGGGGACCCCACAGAAGTACAGCCTCCCCAGGAGCCCCAAACACCTAGCCCATCTGCCCACCTTCACGGGTGGCCCAGGAGGAAGCTGTCGGTGGCCAAGAGCGGCTTATTAAACAGCATGTGATAATAACAAAAATAGTGTTATATGTCCCCCCAACATGGGTCGAAGTCCTAACCCCAAGCACCTCCAAATGTGACCTTACGTAGTTGTTGCAGATGCAATGAGTGCAGATGAGGTCCTACTGGGGGTGGGGAGCCCCTAACCTAATGCAACTTGTCCTTAGAGAAGGTGGGATACAGAGAGTAGAAGGAGGCAGAGATTGGAGTGATGTGTCCACAAGTCAAGGAGCACCAAGACTCGCCGAAACCACCAGAAGCTGGGAGAGAGACCTGGGGCAGACTCTCCCTCAGAACGTCCAGAAGGACCCACCCCTGCCGACACCTGGATCTTGGACTTCTGGCTGCCAAAACCGTGAGAGAACACATTCCTGTTTTCTCAGCCACATGCTCTGTGGCCACTTGTTCCTGCAGCCCTGGAGACACGAACACAGGTGCATACTGTGTTCATTTTGATAGATTCTGCCCCAAAGCCCCCAGGGAGGCTGCGCCAGTTTACGCTCCCTCCAACTGGGCTGGGGACGCAGCTCGCGCCATTCTCCAAGGTGGCAAACCCAGTCTGCAGCCGAGGGAGTGCTCCTCCAGCCACGACCAGGCGCCGCCTGGCCGCCCTCACTCCTTCTGCTCCCTTAACAAACTCCAACAAGCCACCCATGGTGCCAGCCCCGCCTCCCGACTCCTGGCTTCAAGGGTGATGTCACGGTTGCCATGGCGACCCAGGCCTGGGCAGTTATTTATTTATTTCTGAGCCCCACAAAACTCTCGTTGTCTCCCACTCGAGCCGCTGCTATTGAAAGCCGGTGCGAGAGAAAGGCAGGCGGAGAGAAAGAGAGGCCGGGCCACGGGGCCGGGGCCAGGGCCAGCAGCCCAAGAAAGAGGGTTCCCACAGCCCTCCGGAATCAAGACCTTTTTCTTTAACTCTTTGTGGCCTCCTTCTTTTCTTCATAAACCTCTAAGCAGGCATTTTAAGAGGACAATGAATTTAATTGTTTCATTGGTGTTTTCATTTACCTTTTAATTGACACAGTAAAATTTGCTTTTTTTGCTACACGGTTTTATGGTTTTTGGCAAATGGAGGGAGTCGTGTAACTGCTACACCACAATCAAGATAAATGACACATCTATCACCCCCCAAAATGCCCTCACACCCCTGGGACCCCATCCCTTTCCCTAGGCCAGGAAGAACCACTCTGCTCTGTCCCGCTAGCTTTGCCTCGTGCCGAATGTCCCATAACTGGAGTCCTCCAGGAGTCCCCAACAGAACTCACTGTACAAAGTCAAAGCACATTCTTACGGGAAAAGAAATTGTGCTTTGAATGTAAAACAGGGGTTTACTGATTTTCCATTCAAAAGGTACTAAGACAAACGTGTCTCATACAAGAAAAAACCGGGCCCTCCTAAATGTAACAGTACCAGTCTTGGCAATTGTTCTCAAGCTTTCCGTCCTCCTTTTTTTTTTTTTTTTTTCCGTACAGCCTTTTGAGTTTGGCGTACTTCACATCTGAGAATCATTCGCGCTGTTGTGTGTATCGATGGCTCTTCCTTTCTATTGTGGAGAACTGGTCCATCGCTTGGATGCAGAATGGTGTGTTTACCCGTTCCCCGGTCCAGGGACAAAGGAGTCATTTTTAACAGATGAAATGCACAGATACATTTTAGAATGTTCTAGAACAGAGCTGGCAGTCAGAAGGGCGGCCTTCAAGATTGTGGGAAATTTCTCTTAGAAGAGTTGACATTTCTAGCAGGTCGTCGCTGGTTTAACTAAAGGAGGGAAAGGGGCCTTGTCTCCTGTCTGGAGAACAGAATCCCCATTCTGTGGCCAGCCCTTGCTGCTTGGGTGACCACGTGGCCACAGCATCTGATAGGGGCAGGGAGGGCAACTCCATGTGGGGGGCTCCCAAACTGAGCCAGGATCCAGAGCTGGATGCTGGCAGGGAGACAAAGACAGAAGGTTGAATTTCCATCATGAACTGGAGGAAGCAGGAGCTCTCTCCTGTAGCTAGGCACAGTGGGTGGAAAATCCCTACATAGTCACTTGGGTGCTGTGTGACCTAGGGGAAATTACTTAACATCTCTGGGCTGCAGCTTCCTTGTGGGTAAAAGGAGATAACATTGCCTAGCCTGCAGGTACGGTGAGAGAATATGGAATACGTTTGGGAACTAGAAAGAGGTGGTGTTTGCGCAACACTGTCAACGTACTGAATGCCCTTGAAGTGTTCACTTTTAAATGGTTAATTGCGTGCATGTCAATTTCACCTCATTTTTAAAAAATGCTAAGAAAAGGACTCACCCGGGAAGATTTTACACATGCCTGTGCCCAGGCCGCATCCCAGATCAAAGAAACTGTTATCTCTGGGGCTGGGGCCCGGTCTGAGAAGCACTGAGTCAGGCTCATCAAAGGGCC